CATTGTGCCAAAAGCTAGTTTCGCTTTACCAATGCAGAAACAAATAGCTCAGGCGTCGCTACACTGCCAGATTGTTGTAGCATGCTTGCGCGAGTTTTTAAAACTTTTGGATATATAAAGCGTAATTCGACATGACCTTCGTATCAAATATGACTCAGTACATGGAAGTTTAGGAACATTCATTTCTCATTTTTGGGGTCCGTTTGGAAGGTTCAATTTGCTTCGTTGAGTGCACTTCCTCCATTGGATGGAATGATCTGCAACCATGTGTCGTGCATTTGGAAAAAGGGAGAAATAAAACTTTGTGTATTCTGATTGGCAACATATATGTGGCAGTAAAATTTACTAAATAAAACTGTGATCAGCTTATATGATGGACTGCGGCATTCTAAGAAGTTGAGTTTAATGGAGAACACTTCATACTTGGGTATTGGCAAAGGTGTCATGTTTCTTAGTTGATCAGGTGTAGCTGGGCGGGACCATAGGTTTAATTTTTGTTTCATTAACACCTCTAAATATGCCCATAGCTCTTTGTGGATGCAGTCAGTAAAGTTTAAATTAAAACAAGGTTTACTTTAGCACTGAAATGAAAGCTTGGGTATAGCATTATTAAGTTCAGCTGGATTTTTTAAGGCACATTTATTCTCCACACGCTGACTTTGCACCATCATAAGCTTCTACATTTGAGATCCCATTGAGGTGCAGCTTTGCAACTTAATTATGCTTTGCAATCGATTCTAAGATGTGTTGACCAAGCAGGTAGGCTGTTTGTTGTTTGTTTGTTTATTAATACTGTTAGCCTAGAAGGGCCAATACAGGGGGGATTTTTAGAACTCAATACAATAGAAAGCAAAATGTACATTTTGGGTCAATGTTTTGGCTACACACTTAAGGTTTTAGACACAGTTTGACTGCCCACGACCCACAATAAGAAACAAACACACAAAATCAAGCAAGCACAAGCCATACTGCTCACAACTCACAATAATTAGCAAAAACGTTCAGTAGGCTCAATCAGACATGTAAAAAGCAAAAATGAATACAGCATAAAGTCTAGCCTGCACTATAGGACAATATGAAGGCGAGCCCATTTTCAAATTGGCTTAGAAAGTCCATCTTCCCTGTATCATAAAGAAGAAAGTTCCAGTCCTCTATAGTTTGTGGAAAGAGTGAATATTTAAATGTGCCTGTGCATGTCATTAGAGGTGTGATTTTATCTGGATGGCTGCTTCTGACCGGACAAGATGTTTGAGGCTTTATGGTGGTGTTGGGCATCAGTTGAAAAGGTTTCGATGGATTGAATAAAGAAATATTAACCTTGCCATTTTTCGTCGGATCTTCAAGATGTGGCAGACATCTTGAAGATCGATGAAAAATAGCAAGGTTAAAATTCCTTTATCCAATGCATCGAAACCTTTTCAACTGACGTCCAACACCACATAAAGCCAGAAACATCTCGTCTGCTTTAGGACGCCGCCATTTTTAAAATCCAGGGGGCTAGATGATTGCTCCATCTTTGCCAAAATTGTTGGAGAGAGAAAAAAGTCTGAGCTGCTTTCCGCCATCTGGTGTTTGACAGTAGCAACGGAGCGGTTTAGACAAGCTTAGCTCGTCCATGGCATGTAGGAGACATGTCCGCATCGCAGGACGAGTCAGGCTCGTCATTGGGAGAATTAGTACAGCGAGTGTGGACAAGTGAGACTCGTCCATGGCAGTTAAAGGGTATAAGTGATTTCCATTTCCAATATTTTCTGGTTGACTGCATTCAGTTGCTTAGAAACAGACTGCTGTGTAGTTTCGATTTCTCTGATATCCTTGCTCATTGTCTTCCGCCCTTTCAGAAGTTGTTCCAAGACTTGTTAGACAGTGACTGGACAGGGGTTGGTTTTTGCGTCCCCAGCGAGCATTGGAAGCATTGAGACACATTGTAGAACACCTTTTACACTCATTTTGGGGCATGGCAGGACAATAATAAACCTATTGTCTTTTCTATAGCACTTCCCAAGTTGTCTTCATTCGGAAAGTTTTGCCGTGTATTTCATTTGAACAGGCCGACACATGAATCTTTATCTTAGGATAGCTTTTGCCGTACAATGAGTAAGAATAGAGAATACCCATGTTTGGTCCTCCAAAAGTGTTTTTGCTGCTCCAAGTGGACTTTTGGCCACTTCAAGTGAACTTTTGGCCACTCCAAAAGGTGCTTCAAAATTACTCGAACCAATCATCTCACCAGAATTCTTAAAGTCCTTTTGGCCACTCACACTCTGGTTGTAGGTAAGCATGCTGAAGAAGTCATTTTCTCGTTTTCTGCTATGGTAATACCATCAACTATACCCAAGTGAATGATGAAATGGGCGCCTAAAATATTTAGCAATCTTCTTTCAAACTGCCGCAGGGTGCACACATCTTGCTTCTGCCAAGGGCTCACTCGTCCACTCGCTTTTTAGTGAGGTGTAACCAATATTCTATCGTTACTTGACCCGTGTGCAAACATACAGCAAAAAGCCATATCACGCAGCTTTGGAAAGGAGCTTTTGTTGCTATCGCTGCAACCGCAAGCTCGGGAGCAACATTTTACATTGACGAGAATGCCCAAATCGACCTGTTTCTGGCAAGACACGAATTTCCTTGGAAGTGGCACTTGTGGGCTTTGTTGTTGCTTGTACCTATCCAACACGTTTTTTGCGCCGAAGGCTGGGCCCAGCTTTTGGAAGGCAGTCGTGTCGGTCGTGGCAGCGCAGGGACAGAGAAAGCACGTCTGAAAGCCACCAAACTAGTTCTTGTGGCACGGGAGGGCAGGAGAGGAAAACAAAAAACAAACAAATGCGCCCTAATCTGGGTCAAGTCCAGTGTCCTACTTGCTTATATCGCTTTGGGGGAATAACACGACTCAAAGTCAATCCACTTCCTTGTGGTTGTTTTTTCTGTTTGCTTTGTGGCCGTGCAGGCCACAGAAATTGCTGAAAAGGTCAGCTTTGCAAAGTTGTGTCGCTGTTTTGTTGTTTCTTTTTTTTCTTTTTGTCTGAGTTGATGTTTGGAAGAGCCTCAAGCACTGGTCTTCTTCATTCATTTCCTTTCCCAGTGTTGTTTTGGTGCAACAAGCCTGGAAGCATTTTCTTTTTATCTAAGCATATTTGATGAATATAAATTTGGGTTCAATTTTTGCTGTAATAAATTTTTATTATTTATATTATATTATTATTATATATTAACCCTTTTGTGAATGGTGTTATCTCTCAAACGTCCAATATTTCTTTTAAGCAGCTGACTAGGGTACATTTTCTCGTTTGTGTATAGTTTGTCCTTTAATTGTTGGGGAGTAAGGTATAGTTGTAACCCTTAAGGGGCAAGAAAGTTAGAGAAAGAGAGAGAAAACTTTATTCAAACCACCCTTGTTCACGCTGTGTAATCTAGAAAATGGGATCCTTCGATAAGACCTTGGTGGGCCAGGCCAGAGCCTGAAGGGACTAATAAAGTTGAAAGCTGAGCTACTTGGTAGTCTTTATACACGGTGAACAAAAACAGCACAAAAGACTAGGAGAAAAGAAGGAACATGCACGACAGGAGAGGTGCTGTCCTGTTGTGTACGTTCCTTTTTCTGGCCTTGTCCTTTGGACTATTTTTGTTCACTTGAGGGGGATATTGTGGAGGCCTTGCTTTGCACATGGGCAATGTGCAAAGCAAGCCGAGGCCAAAAAAAAAAAAGACATTACCCAAATTTGTTTTTTTTAGGTTATGTTTTTAACAGGTAGTTTTATCAGCTTTCAAATATCCTGGTGGATACTGTCCGAAAGCTCCACTCCTGTGACTATAAAGTATTTTTTCTGGAATAAATTATTTCCGACATGCCTTCACTGTCTAAAGTGCAGCTTTCTGAACTTTCAAACGTGTTAACCTCAATTTCACATTTTGGCATTAAATCTCGGTTCAGGAAAACTATCATCTGATGATGAATTGATATGTGGAGCCAGTTTTTGAAGTTTTTATACTGAAATATGTGGAAAATGTGGCTGTGAGCCTACTTTCTGCATTTTTATGGTCTTTTGTTATGAAAAGCTGCAGCATCTTCAACCTAAAAAATAAAAACATCTTTACATATTTTTTTTTAATTTTATATTAAAAAGGGTATAATTCTTGTAGTTTCTTTCTGTAGCCATGTGACATCGGTGTTGTACTGTATGTTTCGCCAAAAGAACTGGTCTAGCATTACCATCTCTAAATGATAGTTTTCCTCAGGTGATGCAGTGTTTTTTTTTTATGTACTTTTACGTAATTTCTTTAAAGGATAAACTTGTTAACTTTAAACTTTGTATGTCATCCTCTTTCCAGCTATGAATATACCCTGCAAATTTCTTACAAATAAAACTAATGGTTAAAATGTTTGCCTTCCTGTGTAATGTACTCTCTTAATTTTCAAAGAAAACATTTTGTTGCTCTTGATATAAATAGCAGCAAGCTGAATGTGAAACTGCTAATATGTAGTTAAATGTTGCAAAGATTAAGTTTGTGTGCATTTATTGACTTTTTATACCTAAGCTGTTGCATTTTGAATTGTTAGGTAAATTGGTTCTCTTTGGAGATATTCAAGTCTGTGACATCTCTTTTAATTCTAGCAAGAATCACGCTCCATATCAAGAAGTAATGGCACGAATGTTTGAATTTAGAAAGTGCTTTTGCGAATATACACGCTTATTACATTAATAGCATGTCTATCCATGTAATGATATATTTGGTAGGCTTTGAGATTTTAATTTCTTCTCTTCACAATTAATGGGCAGTGTTTAAATTGTCTCACCAGGGCGATTGGCTTTGTTTTATGCAAAAATTCTTAATGTTTATAGCCTGTGATGAATGCTCTGTCTATTTAGTCTGGTTGTGGCAGAATGTTTTTATTCTTGGGTTTCGTTTGCCACTTGGGCGTATGAAAAACTGGTGTAAAGTGTTTTTTTTTTTGTGTTATCTAAGACAGTAACTTAATTGTGATTGCACTATTTTTTCAGGAGGCCCAATTTGAACTTCTTACGAGGCAACTAGAAGCCGAACGTCAAACTGTAGCCAGCCAGCTTGAAAAGGTATGTGATCGAGTGCAAGTCCTGAAACGATCAGTCACAGTCATACTTCAATGTAGCTCAAGAGCGCATTTTAACAGACCAAGAATACAAGACGTGATAGCACTGCTGGCATATATAGGCATGCCAAGAGCAGAGGTCGGCATTTTAAGTCCCCCTCACTCACCCTCACAGCTACACTCACCTTCAGCCCCTCACTCACCCTCATCCTCACAGTGACACTCACCTTCAGCCCTTCACTCACCCTCACTGAACCTCACGGCCCTCACACACTCATGGCCGTCACGCCTCACATACTCACCGCCCTCATTGGCCCTCACCGCCCTCACGGTCCTCACGCACTTATGGCCCTCATGCCACTCAGGCCCGCTTCAGATAGGGCTAGTTTGCCCAGAAACTTGACGTCGCAACACCAACAACACAGGCCGCCCGTGTTCGCACGCAGCAACCAATTGATGCAATTTGCCATTATCATCATGAAATTTTATTTTTTCTGCACAATTTAGACACACAATTACGCACTATAAATGTGTGTTTATGCATTTAGATCTCGTTGAGTATACTAATGCATCTTTCTGAAACAGTTTATTTCCAAAAACTATCAATTTCAAACCAGAACCAAGTCTTTTGTTGTTATCATCACTGGCACAAAGTATCATGTGAAAATATCGCGTCCCTGATTGGATGCAGCCGCGTCAAACGTCTTCGAATTGCTCCGAGTTGCTCGCTTGTTTCGAGTCGGACCCGATCTCAGCAATTCGTGTCGATCTAGAGAAAGCTATGGAACAATCTGCCATCAGCACCGAAATTGCTGAGAAAGTTGCTCCGTCTGAAGGGGGCCTCACGCACTCACCGCCCTCATGCCCCCCATGCACTCATGGCCCTCATGCCCCTCACGCACTCATGGACCTCAAATCCCTTACGCACTCACCACCCTCACAGCCCTCACACCCCTCACGCCCCTCGTGTCACTCACACACTCTCTGCCCTCACGCCCCTCACACTCATGGCCCTCACACCCCTCACGCACTCACCGCCCTTACACCCCTCACACACTTATGGCCCTCACGCAACTCACCGTCCTCACGCCCCTCACGCACTCATGGCCCTCACACACTCACGGCCCTCACGCACTCACAGTCCTCACACTCAAAAATTTTCCTGGTTCAGAAACTCACTGACCCTCACCTGACCTGTGAAGATGAGGATGAGTGAGGGCCCTCAGGAGTAAGGTTTGCTGAGGTGTGGCCAAGAGTGATGTTGCGTGGACAAAAAGAAGGCATATAACTGGTGTAGTAAATATTTAAGGGACACTAAAGATGCTTTTGAGTTTGTGTTTTCATTTCAATCACTTAATCCTTTCACTCTAAGTACCTGAAAAACCCCAAATCAAGGTCATGCACAACCCTTTTTGAAGAAGAAAAGCCGTGTCACAAAGTTTGATTGCATTCTTAAGAAAATGGGTCCTGCACTATCATAATTTGGGCTTTTTTAGGATTCTAAGAGCAAGGTTAAGAGATTGCTCTAAGCATATTGTGGTACTGAAAGGTCAGAGGGAGCTTAAAATGCTTGTGCAAGCACTTGAGTTACTGCTCTGTGGTAAAAAATATGCTGACGTAGTACGGATTTTTATCTTGTAGATTGACTTTACAATAGGGAGGCTCAGACAGTGACTTTAGCGCAGATGAAATTACTGGCTTGGAACAAAAGATTCACAATGCTCGGGCACTTTTTTTCTGACAACTGACATAAGCATAACTGCTTTTGTTGCCGTGTGACCCATTGGCAGATGAACTCATAGTTTTTGTGATCATTATTTTTTTTTTGTTGTTGTTTCTTATTCTCAGTTCAAGCTGAGAGATCGAGACGACGTTGGAAGCGTTTCAAGCGTTTCGGTGACCGGATCAGCCGAGGAGCCTCCCAGCAATTGGAGGTCCCCGCAGCTCGGAAACTTTGCGACCGACGACCAGGAAACCCGTCCCAAGATGACAGACTCTCATCTGTGAGTGTCTCTGACCAAACCTTTTTACTATTTCCTTAGTGCACGGCACATTTACCCCTTGTTACCTTTCTGCCCGGTTTCGTAGGCGCAATAGATCCGTCTCTGTAGACTAAAAAGTATGGGCATTCCTCGGCGAATGTTTTTCCACATGCTTTCATGAGCATGTTCCCACGCATGTTTGTGTACCTCGTGTATGTCGTTAGCATAGCATCACGTCTACTGTCATTCCTTGGGCATAAGTCAACCTTTCTGCGAGCAAAACCTACCTGTTTTCTTTGCCATAGATAGCCAATCAGTAAAGTGTGAGCAATCCTAACAAATTATAAATTTGAGGCGGAGCCACGAACATGTTCCGGTTCTGCCTCAAATTTGTGCTTGGTGTCCCACTTTGTACGATGTATTGAGGTCCAAAAGTTGCCTCAGTCACCTAACTAATTCGCTGGGTTCCATACATAGATCTTGATGGCTTTTTGTGCTCTGCAGGAAGAAAGGCATAATGGTTTTGTTTGCAAGAAGGCTGTGGTATGTTGGCATTTGAGCAGAGTTCCAAAGTGGTTTACATTGCTTGAGAATTTTGTTTAACTAAATCTTAGGTCGCTTGCATTGTCGATACTTCACTCATTATCACCTTGAAAACAAGCTTTGTCACCCTTCGCGTTGCATCCAGTGTCTTAAACCAAAGAGTTCGGCTTGCTTGTCATACCCTCACATTTATCCTTGATCCCGTTCAAATCCTGGGTGTGATTGTGCTAGCGGGCAACCCTAAGATTGAAATCGGAGAGATAGTTGGAAAGCACATCGTGGTTGTTTTGCTACCTTGCACTACATTGTTTCATTTTGTCGTTGCTCGAATGTTGGAAGTTGTAAAGTGCACCCACCCGATGTTCCCGAGCGTTCTTCCAAGCTTTCTGTGACTGCATCTTGTACACGATGCTCTCCCAACCTCTTAGCTGACGGCCGCACACATCCCTCAGTTTCTAGTTGTAGCTTTCCTGCAAATGCTCGTTGCAAAAGTGAGTGCCTCTACCCTTGGCAGTGCGCTCTGCTGCTCTGTCATGGTAGTACTTTGAACTTGTATGTTTGCAGTGTCGCCCGCTAGGTTTTTTTATTCATACGATAGAATGACTTTTACTGTAATATTGACTTAGTCATGGCTCTGGTACTAGAGCTGATGAATGTTCCGGAGTGCCAAAACCCCTTAACCCCATTTAACTAACTTCACAACTTTGTTGCTGGGTCGCAATTGAGGACTTTGAAGTGGATGCTGCAGGCAGTTTAATTGAATTGGGATGAGCAGAACTGGCACAGACTCAAGCAGGCCAGCATTCTCATTTCAGGGACCAGATTATGAGCTGTTTGTTATAAAATTCCCTAGTGAAAACAATTGCAGTTATCGCCGCCCTGGCCTGCCATAAATCACCAGCTGTTCGGAGCTTTCGTGTAAATGTTACGCATTAGTAAGAAGTCACAGTGCTCGTGTGTAACATTACATGTTACACGGGAGTTTCTTTTTGTTTTTCTCCTGGCGCCGAGATTGCTGGCAACGAGCGCTCGGAAACCTAGAAGGCCTCAGTTTTTGCAGTATTTGCGCGGGCAATGGAATGCTGTACCCTCAGAATATTAGGTCACTCTAAGCGATGCCCGGCAACTGAGGATTTGTCGCCGTAGAATGATATTTGATTGGGTATGATTAAGAAACATACTGTTCCTGAAAACATTTACCGGAACTGCATCTGAGCTAAATGGGGCATTCGAATCAGTTATCGAACCGACCGGACAACCTCAGCCTGACAGATCAGGTGTAGACGGTTTGGTGCGGGTTAGCTGGACTTGGTGCATGCGTTGTACTGAAACTGAAAGTCATTTCCTTGGGATGAAGCAACCCGTGCTTAATTTTGAAGGTACGGTAACTTACTCTATGCTATAGTCACCGGCAGGGTGAGAATGACAGAGCTATTCTTTCAGATTGCCTTCCACCATGCTTCGACTGCGCGTGCATGCTCGAAACTCGCGTGACACTGGAACATTATCGATGGTTGGAAGCTCGCGCTGAAGACGGGATAGCCGGAAGCCCTCCCTGCCGCCCTCATCCTGTCGGCTACTATTACGGTTTACGACTTGCTCTATGAGTCTAATACAAAGCATTACGTATATGATCTTATCGAAGCATTATGGTAGTTAGCAGAGCTGACTCTCTGTAAATTAAAAAAGTTACCGTTCCAGACTTCCGTGGCACGTTTTGGATAACCCCATCGCTACTCTCGATTGCCCTTTTCGTTTTATGTCGGGTTGTTGGAGAAACCTCGGCATGTTGGAGAGATACGCTGGTACAGAGGGTAATTATAAAGAAAGGTTTGCTGCCGGAGCCCGAAACCTTGCCTCGTCGCTGTTGCGGCATGCTCTTTGCTAGCTCGGGGCATCCCAAATGATGTCCTCTCTGGACTCGATTTTCGCCGCATCGATTGTTTGGTCGGCCGCATTTAATAAGCGTGCGGTCTTTTTGGGGGGGGTCTCATCCCAACAACCAATCTTGAGGACCCTCGCAACACGCCGAGGGTCCTCCGGATAATTAGGACCTCTTCCAAAACAAGCGAGCGGCAAAAAAAGAAAAAGACGAAAGAGCGAAAATCAACAGTGGGGACGGCAGCCTCCGTTTGCACTGCCACCGGCGTTTTTAGAAGTGGGGGTGGGAGAGCACTGCTGCCGTCGCTTGTTTGCGTGTCCCAGCTTGGCAACTTCCCTCCTTTCCCCTGCTTCTCTCTCTCTCTCCCCCTCTCTCTCCCACTCACCGCCTCTCCCCTGCCTCCGCAGCATCATTAACCGAAAGACGGAATCGACAGAGGAAGAACACCTAGTGCGCACTGAGCTGGTGGAGAGAATGCAGAGGTTGGTGTTGTCACAGATACGAACCGCTAGACATCAAACGGATGTAAAATGACTTTCTAAAAAAAGTATCTTTTCTGTTTTTTTTTAATTCTGAAACTGCTTGATGTGAAAACGTGAGCGAAAAGGTGCAAAGATTCTCAGAGAAAAAAAAAAAAAATTGAAATCATACTTTGGACTCTTGAGCAAGCATGCTTCTCTGGCCGTTGAGGTCTGCGAATCTGGGTGAAATTCTAAATGTGTGCTCCACGATTTTGCGAATTCTTTAAGTTTATGGCATTCAAGTAACTAAGAATGCTCGTTGGTACTTAACGATATCCACTGCGTTTACTAAATTGGATCTAAAAGAGTTTTTTTCTTGATATTGTTGGTTTCTTTCTGGGCTTCAAAATGAATGATGGAATGAAATTGGAAATTGCAAAAAGGTATTGGCCACTTGAAATTGGGCTTTTTTTTAGCATAGTTATGACCAGTGAGCACTTAGTTTCTTATTTTGGATTTTGTGCAAACTGCGTATAAATTTTCATGTTTTTGCTTCAGAAATACTCTTCCCTGCTTCTAAAGTTTAGATGCTTGCTTCTCTTGACGTTTTTTCTTATTGCTTAGAAAATGTTTTCTTAAAAACAAAACTGTGTTGATAGGCTTACATTTTTCATATCAGGCAATTTCTTTACTCTTAAAAAAAGATGTTGCAAGTTCTGGGGCAGAGTAAAGGCAGGAAACTCGTTACTGTGATTTAGTGGCGCGTTATTGTTATGGAAGCTTTTTTTTTAATCTACCTCGTGGGCAGAAACTAATTTCAAGAAAAGATTTTCGCTTGTTAGTGTGCCTATTATAGCTGAAAACCAAAGAATGCATGGAGTTTTGGCTGCAGGTCATCGAGCATAGTGAGAAGAAATTATGAAAATAAAAACTAGAATTTCGACATTTGTACCTTAATTCTACATTCAATAAATCGGTTCTGTCTACCATTCACTATACATTTTTACTGCAGAATACACTTCATGTTCGTACACTGAATCTGTCATTGCAACAACAAATTTACTTTATGTCATGAAACCTTTAACCACCTAAAACTGGGGAAGGTAGTCATACATAAAAGAACTCGAGAGTAGAGTGCCATAGTTTTAGGTCTATATCGTCGCACAGTTGTAAAGTCGCACCTATAAACGGCCATTTCCACCAAAAGTCGGTACATAAGTCGCTCCTTGTTATAAGTCACACTTCTTTGTTGTAAATGATGATACAGCATGCATCTTGCACAGTTACAGTTCATACATATAAAAAAAAACTCATTCAAGTTGCACCGTTGGGTAGTACACACCAACAGAAATTTTCTGGGCAAAACTGCGACCTATGCACCGGAAAATAGGGTAGTTATGTTTCTCTAACCTAAGATATTTAGCACGTCAGGAAGTGACACTCTCTGATAGTTAACAAATTTCTGTGACGAGTTTCCTGCCTTGCTTTTCCGTCATCTTTGTCAGGCATGACTCCTGCGGCATTCTTTGTCATTTTCCCGCCTGCATGCCACGTGGCGAATGAAGTGCACGCTTCAGTGAGCATTGCACCCAACCCTCGTGCACTGCTGCCCTTCAAAATAGCTTAGCCTTTAACTTGTGACGATAGAGTGTGCAACGTTGGTAGTGTCTTCAAATCTCGCAAGTGGTGTATCGCATCAGTGAACAGTGTTTTAGTAAATGGCAGCATTTGTTTTTTTAAATATGTTTTCCTTTGGCCCAAATGGGTTATCACTACTATTAGCATTTTTTTGTGACAATGTTTAAGCCTCTAGGACTTGTCTGCAGGTCAAGTATTTTCTGACAAAGCATTGTTTGCTAGGACGATTGTTCACTGAACCGTTGCTTGCTAAAACATCTGGAACCCCAAGTCGTAGAGCACATGCTAACAATGTTCTATTAAGAAGTATTGCACTACCAGCTTGCGGTAGACTCCAAGGCATTTAGACTCTAATTACTGTCACTTAAATGTCCCTGTTGAATTTTGGGAGTTCCTTTTTGTGTTAAAACATGGACATAGGTGGACTGTAATGTTGGCAAATGTTGACTTAAGTGTGCATACAACAGACCTGCATAGATACTGAGGTCAGCGAAAGATGATTTTGCCGCAAGACGGACGATATGGCTAGTTTTGAAATGGCAGCCATTTTGTTTGCATTGTTTGCATACTTGGGTTTTTTGTAGGTAATGGCTTGTGGCATTAGTGAAAAGTAATTGTTTAGATCTTAGTTTAAGGTTCGGTTCAAATAAACTGCACTCTCCAAAGTACACAAAACTAATAGCAAAGTCTAGAGGTAACTGAAGGTGGTAGGTTTGAATATGTTATGGGACATGATTGCATTGAAGGGCTTTCTTTGTGGATGGCTTTATATGGTGCAGTTTGAATGGTGAGGAGTCCACTGCAGTTGATGCTGATACAGTCGAATCTCGTTAATTCAAACTCGAGGGGGACCGAAAATTTGTTTGAATAAAACAAAGTTTGAATTACCGGGAGTTCTCTCCCATAGAGACGCATAGGATGGGACCTGCGTGTTAGTTCGAATTATCCGCAAGTTTGAATTAAGAGAGTTTGAATTAACAAGATTAGACTGTATCTTTCATCATTATCCTTCGATTCAAAGAAATCATTATTAGTTCAGATTTTTTCTACTTATTAGAAATATACATCACTTCTCCCTGACTTCTGTGCCCTTGAGCAAGTGCCAAGAGAGAGCAGACAGCAGCAAGTGCTGACATTTCTGTGACAGTTTATGCCTATCATAAATTGTGCCGTCTGACAACCCAGTTGGTTGCCAACCTAGATGCCCCACTGCTTCTCATTTTAGAGAGGTCGCGGTGGCGTTTTAGCCTGTCAGGTTTTGCCAACATTGGTTGGCAGTCAAGGCAGATTGCTGTTTGTCAGTAGTAGGTGGCCAGGACGTTTGTTCACCTTGGAGCATTTGCAGTATAGGTAGTGTTTGAGAAGCATGAAGAAGTGTATCACTTAGCATGGTGTTTTCTTAGAGTTGTGTAACAGTTATTTTGAAGTCTGACATTCGTATGGTTCATCAAGTTAGTGAGGGTCACATATAAGCTGCAGACAAAAGTAGTGAGCATGCTTGAGGTAGTGTCACTTATTTCTGGACTGTTTTGTAGGATGGCTGAGAATTCTTATCATCCCCATTGTGACAAGGTATTTCATATCATTGCATGTTCAAATGAGCAAACCATTGAGCTGTATGATATACATTGAAAATTGGAAAGAAATTGGGAAGAGCAGCAGTGGTGCTAAACTTGGATTCTTATTATCAGAGTAGTACGTACCAACCAACACCATCACTGACTGCAATGTCATTTTAACATTTCCCAATATCTCGTGGTATCATACAGCTAGTAGTTTATTTGCTCGTTTCAACCCCAGTATTCTAGTAACCCTTCCAGAAATGGAACATCTTTCGATGGAAGATTTGTGCTGAAGACTTGCTCTCATAATCAGTTTCTTGGGCTCAGGTTATGCTTTAGCTGTGCAATTCTGTGGGTTGAGTGAATGATGCAGAAGGGTTTATAAGAGTGGAGCGTGCATTCAACTTTGGTTTCCACTCCACATAGGCGCTACTATCCTGATCAGACAACCACAGAGTATCACCGTTACATGTAAGTTCATGTGAAGGCAAAAATTCGACATTGTACCCGTGTGCCTTCTTGTGTGCGTGCGTGTGCAGGTTTTGAGTGTTAAACCGACTACAGTCTTTCAGCATGTGCGTCCCACTAGTGCTGGTCTTTGCTCGGCTTTTGTGCATGGCAAGTGGTCATGTTCCAACGGGATTGTTTATTTGCTGCTTGCCTTGTATGAGCATGTTAGTTTGAGTAGGTGTAGCTAATACTATTGTTCTAACCTGGCATGTGTAGCATGGTTTACATTGTAGCATCTTTTGTTGTGTAATATGAGATCTGTTTCTTCATGCAACCCTCTGAAACCATCCTTTTTTCTCTACTCCTAATGTTCTGCATTTGAACAGGAATGCTCGAATGTTGTAGTTTTGTTTGCTTGCATAGGATCAGGAGTTATTTATTTGGATAATTTCTGCCTGTCTCGTTTTGTTTCATACACATGTGAGCTTTCCTGTATGAAACTGTTTTGTGTGGGCTACAACAAAACATGGTCTTCACACGTTTGTTGCCTTGATAGCCAAGCTATTCAAGCTACCTCTGTCACCTGAACCGTCAGTACTCGTTTAGAAGTTTGCTTTGTTGATAAGCTTGGCTTTATTTGCAACCTGTCTTTCTATCCTGTGTCAGCTGGTAATGTGCCAGCCCATGGATTCCTTGTGATCGTCAAGTTGGCATGTTTTTTCTCACCCCAACATTTTCCATAGCTTGTTGTTTACTGGTCTTTGGTAAATGGAAATTCTTTACACTTTATATATCTAGAGCTCACACTAAATGTGGGATATTGTGACCCTAAGAGCTTTGCTGGATTTTTCGTTGTAGCGTCCTTGAGGTCTGCAACATAAACTCCTAAAAACTGAATTTCTATCTCACATTTGCATTGACTGTGATTGACTGCTCTACGACCGCCTGTGATGGCTTACGGCACAGTAAAATGGAAATGTGTGAATTAGCCTTAATGTACACATAACCGGTGTATAATCCTGCTAGAGGATACTACATCCAGTTTTTCTTGTTATCATTATGTTCGGCATCCAGATCGCTTCATGTACTGAAGATTTTTTTTTTTTTTACACTTTATGTAATTACAATAATAGTTTATATATCTCATCTGGTCTCACTCGCTACCACTATTATTGTTGTCACAAAGACTAGGGTTTGGCCCGTGCAGACCCTCCTTCGCTTTGCGTTCATGCACAGCATCGTGAGTTTTTCTGGCACCAATTGGTGCGGCCGTGATGCAGTGTCTGCCCGTCCCTCGTGTTCCCAGGCAAGATGGCAGCTCCCCGCAAGTGCAGGAGTCATACTCTATGAACTACCACACGACGACATCCACCAACGGACACCAGGTCGGAGACGGGGAGCACTCGCCAAACTCCTCCAAGATGGTGCTACCCAGCGAGAACACTCAGCTGGTCAGCCGTACAACGCAGCAGACCAAGACGCAACAGGTGCGCCTGCATATTTTTGCAGCCTCGAGTTGATGATTGTCGACGTGGGTGGGCAAGGCAAGCGGTTGAGGTTGTATGGCACACCTAACCAACTGCACAGTACTAAACAGGAGTAGCAATCAAATCATGAGAGAGATTATCGAAACCAAATATATAGAACGGCTAAGCAACCAATGTGTTAGTGCCCCGTCTCTAACTTTGTCCGGAAAGGAGTTATATTACTCAGCCACGAGTTCAAGGAGACAGAAGCAGAGACTTTGAATTGTTTCTTCTAACAGGTAAAAAACAAAAAAATTAACGACAACAAAAAAAAAAAAGCAGTTGTTAGTGTTCTGTGAGTGCCCCCCTTTTTGTGCATTTTTGTGCAAATTTGTGCATCTGCTTTTGTGTGCTTTAAGGTCGGAGGTACATAAACAACCAACTTGCCCAAGGTGCAGTCTTAACAATAAGCGGGGTAGGCAGCTGCTAGGGCAGCAATTTTGAATGTTGGAACTTGAAAGTGGCTAAGGTTTTTTCACCCCTAAACTGCTGATGCTCTAGTCAAAATTCCATAGGAAATTTTGGCTGCCCTAGGCAAAGACTGCTTAAGACATCTGTGCCATGCTAGGCAAAAGCTGCTTAAAGCCCGACCTACAAAAAGTGTTTCCACAAGGCAGGAAAGTCTTCCTCACCACCCTTCCTATTCCTCCTCTCTCACTGCTATCTTGACAGCAGGGGGACTCCTTTTGTTACTGCGTCTTGGAGCCGGACAAGCCGGCATAAACTCTGCCGTCAAGATAGCTGTGGGAGAGGGGAAAAAAGAAGGGTGGTGAGGCGAATTTTCCTACCTTGCGAAAAATTATTTTGTGCGTCGACACAATTTTTGAACCACTTGTCTGATTTAAATTATATTTACAGGGCTTGTTTCTGTGGATGTTGACAACATTTCTGCCAATTTTTGTTAACCTGGGTGAAGTACGAAAAAAATTGCAAATATGCAAAGACGGAATGGCCGTGTCTGCGTAGGAAAATTATCGTTTTGAAATTACTTATAAATTTGTCGTTTTCATGTGTTACATTGCATTAGGACAGTTCAGAGCAGATAACTATGGAGCTATATTTCTATATTATACCATCTTTCACGACAAAAAAGCCACATAAACACAAATACAGTTTTTTAGATTTCCATCCTTTGTCCAAACTTTTAGTTCTTGAGCATGAAAAATGACAAAATAAAAAATACAAGCTCATAGTTATCTTCCCCTTAAAATTTCACCCCAGAAAAATTCATAAAAATGGATCCAAGTTGCATAATAACAAAATGATAGTTTTCCTGAAGTGAAATTTATGCCAAAAAGTGGAATGGAGAAAAATATGTTCAAAGTGCTCCAACCTCTGCCTTTTCTTTAGCATCAGTGGACCGAAAATAATTTATAAAAAATTAACTATGCAGTGTAAACTAATGAAACTTCCTGGGAATACTCTCTAGATGTTGGCGGATGTAAATATGACATTTTCCAAAATCAACTTTTTTTTTGCAGAAATTGTTTTTTTTTTTGGGGGTAGTGTCCCCCCTTAAGACATTTCTCAGGGTATCTAGCGACCGGGAATTGTCAGGAAAATTTTAATTACCGGGAGAAATCAGGGAATTGTCAGGAATATTGTCAAAAAGCGAGCCCAGTCAGGGGAAATGAGCCAGAAACGTCATCAAGAGCCCTGAGCAAACACTTGAGGACTTGGGGCAGAAAAATAGGCGATAAATTCTGCTTAAAGCGGAGCGCGGGCTCTGCTCACCCGATGTAGAGTGTGCTACCCGATGCAAAGGGAACAGCCGCCACATCCAGTCTAAATCTTGGATTGGATTGGATTGAGGGCACAACACTAGGCTAGATTCAGTTAGAGCTTTAGATTCAGTGACAAATGGGAAAGCCGCAGACCCCAATCCAATCTCAGCATTAAGCTGAAAGTATCCGAAAGTGTGCATCTGGCGGCAATGCGCCTTGCTGCCATTCGGTTATTGACGTGAGTGGTTGAGCGTCGTGTTTTCATTTTGTTTCCGGAAGTGGCCTCTTCACCGACGATGTCGGCAGCAAGAAAGTGCTCGTTTAATCCGGACTGGACGAACCCGAATATTTCGGAATATGCAAATTGGATTAAGCCTGTGCAAAATGCTCCTCACTCTGCTCAATGCTTTGTGTTGTAATGGTCTTATATATTTAACCGCCTCAGTGGTCAGGGAATTTCACCTGAAATTATCAGGAAAAACGTGGAAAAGTCAGGAAATTTCAAAATAATAATTTGCTAACACCCTGATTTCTGCTAGCCTAGGCAAGAACTAACACTTCTGCCACCCAGAGAGAAACTACTTAGGACATTTCGGCCATCTTCGGCAAAATCTGCTTGGGATATTTCTGCTAGCCTACGCAGTAACTACCATAAAATATTGAAGGTCCATGTCAAAGGATGATTCCATGGGATTTTGGAACCTAGCAAGCACCCATCCCCAGTTTTCCATGATAATGTCCAAACTTTGAGCGGGCGCTTGCTCGGTATTTTACAGTACTAGTGAATGACACTTCTAGCACTCAAGAGGGAGACTGCCTAGGATGTTTTGGCCACCCTAGGCAAAAACAGTTAAAAACATTTCTGCCATTCTAGGCAAAAACTGCCTAGACATCCTGCTAGCCTAAGCAGTAACTACTCATGACATTTCTGCCACTCTGGAGAGAAACTGCTTAGGATGTTTCGACCACACTAGGAAAAACAGCTTAGAACATTTCTGCCATTCTAGGCAAGAACTGCTTAGGACATTTCTGCTAGCCTAGGCAATAACTACTCACGACACTTCTACCACCCAAGAGAGAAACTGCCTAGGATGTTTTGGCCATTCTAGGCAAAACGAGTTTAGGACATTTCTGCCATTTAGGCAAGAACTGCTTAGGACATTTCTGCCAGCCTAGACAAGAACTACTCGTGCACTTCTCCCACCCTAGAAAAACTGCTTAGGGCATTTTGGCCATCTTAGACAAAAACTGCTTAGGACATTTCCACCACCCTAAATAAATGGCTGTCGTAAATGGAATACAGAAACATGTAAATATGCTGAAACGTTTCCTCCCCCCTTTCCTCAAAATTTTTGTCCAAATTACAACGGTTTTAGTCTCTTTAGCTTCCTTTTTCAATGAAGGGCAGCATGAAATTAGCGCTACGCACTAAGGATAGAGAACAGGAACATATTGGCTAGTCTGAGGTTGCGACGCTCTGGATTTCGAACGTTGTGTAGCTACTATTTGTGATGGCGCCCGTAACCAGACGAAACAAACCGCACCACATTTAAAACGCCCATAACTTGCAGAGATGCGCAGACCCCAACACCGTGCTGTGACATTTTGCTTTCTTTACCAGGTGAAGACGGTGACCAAGGTGGTGAAGACGAGGGAGGTCCGGCACGTGGGTCCGGACGGCCAACCCCTGGAGTACAACCCGTACGGGACCCACGGCATGCCCATGTCGGGGCCGGACTATGTCACCTACCCGTATTCCGGGCCCACCGACAACTCGCACGGCTACGGTACCTACGACTCTGGTGAGCTCGCAGCTGCCGCCGCAGAAAGAAGCACATCAAACTCTGTGCAATCTCCAAAACTGAAACCATAGACCATTTCACAGAGAGCTATCCGGGTGGTGCCATTTTGTTCGACTGCAGCGCCATCGAAGTACATCTGGGCATTTCAACGGAATCGTCGGGGTTAAAGATGGAAAGGGCACGCGCCGTTCTCATAGGTTTTCATCGTTTGGGAAGTTCCGGTGAGATCCACTGCTGGAAGTGCCCATACATGCAGTCTCGTTTCCCTCTCACCCTACTAGAGTGGTCTATAGGAAGTACCGCATTTACTCGCATAATGGACACACTACTCACGAACAAGGCTCTTGCGTCTGCTTTCCCCACAGAACAAGCATACAGCCAAACATCGCGTTTCACACAAGAAACGTGGCGAATGACAAGGTCCAAAACATGATTTTTGTAACAATCTGCACAGATGGCAGTTTTGCTCGAAGGCATCTCTGTTTCATAAATCGCGGCCATCTTTCTGTCGATCACAATGAGTGACTATCTGCATGAAGGCAAACCACAGGCTTCGTTATAAACACTGTGTCTATTACTCGAGTATAAAAGGGAATTCACATGTTGTCATCAGAACACGTTACGAAATACCATAGAATCTCCGTGTAGCTACCGTAAACACCGCAGGAGCACCTACTGTTAACATTTCCCAAACTTGGGAATTCTGAAAAATATACATTAAGCGTTGTGAAAGTGCCCATGTCTAGATTAACCCAGTTTTCAGTGAAAGTCAGGGGGGCACTCCCCTGGTATTTTACGGTAAGTTAGCTTTTGTTTTTGTAAAAATTATTTGCTATATTAGTAATATCAGTAGCTTAAATGCGGTAATCAACATTGCGAGCACTCCAACTTTGCTTCACTATATTCATACATTTGCTATATCACCTTTACTACAGGGTTGTGAGTTGTCCCTTTATCCCTATTTTGGCTATAATAGTCATTACTATAGGGAGATTCTGCCATGAAAGCAATCGTGGATCACATGCTTGATGAATCAGCATTAATTAAAGGGTCACTAAAGTTGTTTTTAAGGGGGGACACTGCCCAGAAGATATATATTTCTGCAAGAACAGTTGACTTTGAAAAATGACGTATTTACATCCACCTACATCTAGAGAGTATTACCAGAAAGTTTCATTTGTTTACGCTGCAGTTATTTTTTTATAAATTATTTTCGGTCCATCGATGTTAAAGAAAAGGTAGAGGTTTGGGCACTTTGAAGCTGTTTTTCTCTGTTCCACATTTGGCATAAATTTCACTTTTGGAAATCTATTGTTTGGTAATGGGACAAACAAAAAAAAAAAAACAGCTCATTGGGCAAAGCAATTGTGGCATTGTTTGTTTACTTTGTGGATGTCTTTTATAAAAGATGTTAAGATTTTATTGATGACATAAATGGCAAAAACTTTATTTGATTATTTAGCGCGATGTTAGCCTAAAATAAATCACTTTTTGGAAATTTTGTTTTCCGAGTTGCACTTTCCAGGCATTGTACTGCATATTTAGTGAAGAAAAATGTTGGGTATTACATTAGTTTTCTAACAATAGTTTTCCTAAACAGTGTCAGTGTGTTCCATATAGAAATTACTATAATTTCTTTTACAATGCATGTACACAGATAAAACTTAGCACTGCATTCTGCCTTGCAACCAACAGTATATACTGTAAATTTCATTCATATTACGCAAGAGGTTCAGAAGTTTACCCTTTGTCTAGTGTCCTCCCTTAAAATTGTCCTGTCATGCAGGAAGCTATCGCTTCATGCACGGCAGTCGGGACGACCAAGGGTGGACTGATTTCCGAATGTGTGCGATTCACGCGCTGGAAGTGATCACTTCAGATTGGCTGTCGCACACCCGACGGCGCCCTTTGGTTTTAACGCCAACTTGCAAAAAAAAAAGGGGCATGTCACAATCTTCAATTTTATTTTTTTTAGTATGCTTAGATTCTGTAGACTGAGTTATGACCATCTATTAGACGCTCTCAGGAACCACTTTAAAATGCTCCTTTAATATCCTCCAGGCGAACCGCCCAGCCCCGCCAGCCAGGTGGCCCCGCCCCACAGTGGCTACCCACAGGACTACGCGACGTACGGGTCATACCTCCGGGACTACGACTACGGAGGCTACCCGGGCCAGGCCCCGACCCCGCCCTCAGTGACCTCGGAGTCCCCGCTGCCGCCCCACGCTGTGCCCCAGGCAGCTACCTCACGGAGCATCATGTCCCCCCTCATGGTGGCGCCGGAGGGCTACAACCACGGGCACTCTGGATACGACGAGCTGGAGCCCGTGCCTCCGAGGGGCGGCACGGAATACGTGCAGGACCGCTACAGGAGCACGCCTTCCCCGGCACCGCACCCCGACCGCTATGGTGTGTTGACCCTTCGTTTGTCGGTAGATTGCTGCGGATACGGAATGCAATGTTGGTAGCTTGCCGCTAATTTGATTGGATTGGGGCAACTTAACCCTCCATGTTGGGCAATCACAGTGTAAATATGGGTACTGAATGCAGTGTTGGTAACTTGCTGCGAATGCGGATAGGGAATGTAATATTGATAGCTTCTTGCAAATATGACTACGCACCACAACATAGGTAGCTTTCTGTGAATACGGATCTGGAACACAATGTTGGTAGTTTACTGTGAAAAATGTATGTGTAATACGGTGTTGGTGACTTGCTTCAAATACAGATATGGAATATAATATTAGTAGCTCGTGAATATGAATCCGTGGGCTTACTGTGAATACAGATAAAGAATACAATGTTGGTAGCTTAGTATGAATACAAATATGGAATACAGTGTTGATTGCTTGCCGTGAATATGGATACAAAAAACACTGTTGGTATTTTGGTGAGAGCACAGATACGGAATGTTATGTCGGGCGATGCTGGACGCAAGCAGGTCTTTGAACGTAAAGGCACGAAACTTCTTCTCAAAGTGAGACCGAACGAATTCTGTAACGCGGCCCGCATGCAGCCACATACGGCTACCTGGGTCCCCCCGGCGCCACGTCTCCGGGCTACAGTCCCGGCTACGAGGGGGCCCCGCCGCCCCAGGGCTACCTCGACCGGAGGCCCAGCTACGACGAGCACCATCCCCCCGGGGGTCCCGGTGGGGCCAGGGCCGGCGTGCCCGGCATGGGACCCTACGGGGCGCCCCACGCTGTCTTCGAGGAAGAAGAGGGGGGCCCCGCGCCGTCCCTGGACGGTCCCCCTAGGCCTTACGGGGGCCCGCTCGATGGAACGGACCTCAGGGGTAAGCTCCTCAAAGCTTTGCGTTGCTTGGGTGCTTGTTTCGGCAGATGTGGTTACATTAGTTTTTCCTCTCAGTGTCCTCCCAGTTAGCAACTGTACTAAAACAATCGAATTGGCAATGGGGGGGTTTCCAGAGCTTTTTTTTTATGGCGACAGGTGTTTGGGAACCTCCCCTAGAAGTTGCATTGTCGTCCTTCGCAAAAACTTCTGGTGCCTCAGACATGCGTTGAAAATCAGCGAGCACATACTGGAGGCAAGGAGTTGGAAATAAAAACATTGAGCACTTGCTGGAGGCCAGGCAATCGGGAGAAATGCCCTGCAGTTCTCTGTTTAACAATGGCTGTAGTCATCTGTATATTTAGATACATTCAAAATTTTTTTTTTTTTTTATCTTCTCGGTTATTACACGCAAACTGCTGTAGCCGACACCCCATTGTGCCAGCGCAAGTGCACTACTATCCAAGCAGACAAACTTGCACGCCGTATGGCTAGACCTCGGAAAATTTGTGGCGGTTTCTAAGATTGCGGCTTTTAGTTATTGTGCGCTGAAGAGGCTTGTCCTAGGCCGAGTATGTATCAGGCACGGGAGTGGAATCGAGAAGGGAAGCAAAAATGGCACGAAAATTCCCAGAATTGTGCTCAGGAGGAGGCAAAGAAATGACAAGGATGCTACAATAAGCTCATTCGATTTACCGGCACCTTGTGCACTAGCTGCATTTGGTGTACAGCGCCATATTTGATCTACGAGTGCAGTCTAAAAACGCAACCGGAAGTACGGTTCTCTGCACTTTTCTGCACTGCGCTACAATTTTTTGCACTAGTGCAGGCTGGTGGAGGTAAATCGAATGAGCCCAATGATAGCAAATTATGCTAGTGCCACGCTGCTGTTGTTGCGACAGACGTTAGGCGATAGTGTAAATGCTCTTGAATTTTAAAGCCGTAGCTTTACAAGGCCAACCAACCTGAGGAACCACATAAGCATGAAATGTGTAGGTTGGTCGGTTCGTAACTGCTAAACGACTTTGGAAAAAACGAAAACCGGTGCCAAGGATCAAATCCCGGTAACCGGCGTGGAAGTTGAGTGCGCTGCTGACTGAGCTATGTACCCAGTAGGCAGGAACGGGAGGAGCAGAAGCAGGTGGTGTGAGAAAGCGTGCGGAGCAAAGAAGGGTGTATCGGGCAGGAAAGAGAGGACTAAAACAGGTGGTGTAGAATATGTGCACGGAATGAGGAGGAGTGGAAAGTGCAGGAAAGCACGCTTCCCCTCATTTGGTGTCGTAGAAAATTCAGAGCAAAGGCTTTGTATCTGGGCAGTGCTGAAGGGAAGCTTGTGCGGCGTCACAAAGAGACAGTGATGTGACCTAATCTGTTGCCATACAAAACCCTGCCCGAGGCAGCACCTGAACTAAGGGCACCACCCACCCCAGGCACTGAAAGACTAAAGTGCCGTTCACACACTTGCAACCGAGTACGACCGAGAGAGGCAAGACCGGTTTTTAAGGCTTTGCAAGGGGAAAGGACCAGGTGCGCTGCTGCAGAGCAGGTCCTACGCCATTGTAAGAGGCTTGAAAACCGGTCTTGTCTCTCAGTCGTACTCGGTTGCTAGTGTGTGAACGGCGCTTAAGGGGCACTGACACCCCAAAGGTTGTATTTTTTTTTATTGTCTAAAAAGATGCAAGTTGCAGTCATAAACATGCAAAAAAAAACGCATAGCGAAAAAAAAATTTTCTCGCGCGTGCACGCGCCTTTTTATTTTTGCCGTATGATTCTCCCGCCTCTCGCCTCCTCGCTTCTTTTGATTCATGACGTCAAGGATCATGAAATTTAGAAGCTTTGTAGGCGACATCTCTATAACATTTAATAACGGCAATCCTAAAATATGTTTTTTAACGCAATTGCGAACGCACTACGGCCATTCTTTTTGAAATACCAAAAATTGGGAGTTCGTTGTGGTGCCGCCTCCTGGATTTGTATCCTCCCACGGAAAACAGGCAACACCGCTCAAAACCGGTCCGCCAGCGCTCGCTGCGCTCGCTCCTTTCCTCCTCGTTTTGGGTCGCCATGGCAACAGCAGGGAGTCGTGAAAGAAAGTGGATTCTCAGGACTCCGCAATATTTGACGTCAACGCACCAGCGCGGATCGTGCGGGAACTTCGAATTCGGCATTTGGAAATTGTTTTTTTACTTAACAAATACTGAATTCCCAAGTTTCGAATATTAAGGGTAATGTACCGGCATCGTTTTCAATCGCTTCGGATAATTAAAAAAATATGATTTTGATGTGTCTGTGCCCCTTTAAAAGTGATCCTGCACTAGGCATTACCCACCCTATAAAGCTACCACATTTAAACATGTTTGGCAATATAACCAAACATGCAGCCAACTTTCTTTTTTTTTTTTTTTTTTTTTTCGTGTACTGTTATGTATTGGAGCTGTCTTCCCCAGAACATTGTAGTTACTCATGGCTCAGCCAAATTAGAGAAACTATTATTTGAAATCGCATTTTAGGTATAATGAAGTATTGTTTGTGTTTGTATACCTACCCTTTTGATATTTTTATTTTTTATGCACACTCCATTTCGTGACGTGGTACGGTACTTTTTTTATTTGTCACCAACCCCTTATGTAAAACTCCCTCCACAATTGTGTTTGTATAAATACCCTATTTTCCAGGGTATATTTCGCATTATTTTTATAAAAATTTTCGACGCTGCATTTTTGCAACGGTGCAACTTATAAGTAGGAACCTTAAAGGGCACTCGTGTGGATATTTAATGGGACTTATCTGCCAACTTTTCTTGTGAAAACGGCCGTCTATAGGGGGTGCGACCTGTAAAATGGTGCTACTCATAGACTGAAAGATATGTTAAATAGAAATACAACTCGGGTTTCCTAAACGGACGCTACCATGGGACCGTGCGGACAACAAATTTAATGTGATTGGGGTATCGTTAGATCGCCTTCTGTCACCAAAGTTGAGCCTGCATTATGGCCCGTCGTTTTGGCAGGGACTCAAAAATGATGCGTGTGGGCTTCCTTGCAGGTGGTGGCGACGTCCGGTGGCGTGACCCAGACCTTCACGAGGTGATAGAGTTCCTGGGACACCCCAACAGCGTGGTACGGGCCAATGCGGCCGCTTACCTCCAACACCTGTGCTACATGGACAACAGCATGAAACAGAAGACCAGGTGGGTTTCCTTGTGTGGATGGATGAAGGGACAGTTGGATGGATGGATGGATTGAGATTGATGGATGGATAGACGAACGGATGGATGAAATCATGAATGGTTCGATCAGTCGATAAATGGATGGATAGATCTGGCTCGCTCCATCGAATTTGGTGGTAGCTTGCAGCACCCGGCTTGTATGTATCATGAAGTTATTCCTACCCCTTTGGCACCCTTTTATGTCAGGTCTGAATGAATGAATGGATGGATAGATAGGGTTCAGTCCGTCTAATTGGATGGCTGCTTGCGCCACCTTGCCTGTATGTACAGTATCATGAGATTACCCCTACCCTTTTGTCGGCCTTTGATGTCAACTGGGAATGAATGAATGGATGAATAGATTAGGCTCAGTTCATCGAATTGGATGGCTAGTTGTGCCACCTTGCATGTGTGTATTGTGAAGTTACCCCTACCCCTTTGACACCCTCTGATAACAGCTGGGGCTTGTTGCTGTTGCCAGGATACATAATGACAGGGTTTGTGCAGGTCCTTGAAAACCCTCGAATTTGAAAACAGCCTTTTTCAGACCTTGAAAACCCTGGAATTTCTAGTGCTGCTTGAAAACATTTAAATTTTCCAATGATAGTTAGTTAGTTTGTTTTTCGTATATGGCACCATAAAACACATTTAGTGGATGTCCGTTAAGATCTTGGCCACAATGGTAGCAGTCCCGGTGGTTCTGGATACGGTCTCACCCCTCCGCCATCTGGAGATCTTGCCTCTCGTTCGCCTTGTTCTTTCGCGTACTGTTTGCTAGCTACTCGTGGCTTGCTTGTTCTGCGTCTGTTTTTGCGCTACACATGGTGGGCATAGTTTAAGTTGTGCACGATGCCCGGGAAGTGCAACTACAGACACCGAGGAAGCAGAAACAACAGGTGACGTCACCTACATTCTCGAGTCGAACAGTCTAGGGAAAACGGTGAATACGAAGACGCAAGAACTTCTAAACATCAACCAGGAAATCTAGGAAAAGCTGCAGTAGCTCTACCCTTTACTAGCACCTGTTTGGCCAATGCACCCTTTCCTATGTGTTGTGCAGTAAAGAAATTCTGAAAATATCTTTACATGCCCTTAAAAGTCCTTGAAGACCCTCGAATTATTTTTCTTTGAAGCCTGTACAAACTATGAGTGAAACCTCCCAATAAATGAAGATTGATATTGCGGAGATACTGACGTGGATTTGTATCTCTGAAGGCCGACTCCCTTCTGTCTTCGTGTGTGTGCAGGGCCCTGGGAGGCATTCCCCTGTTGATCGAACTCTTGAACCAAGAGATCCCCGAAATCCAGAGGAACGCCTGCGGTGCCCTCCGAAACCTCTCCTACGGGCGCCAGAACGACGAGAACAAGGTTCTTCCTTTTTGTTCATCTCCTCTCTCCCCTCTGCTTATTTTCTGCTTTTTATCAACTTCCTTTTCCTTACCCTTGGCAAAGAGCAGTGCGCTGTGCAGATTTTGCACTCTTATGAAACAAAAAGTGCGCTTTGGAAAGCACCACCATACTTGAAGTATGTTTCAAGCTTATTAATAAGATACTTGAAATATGCTTTGAGTGTGTACACTAGGGTGGCGATGCCATATTGGCCACACTCAATCTGACCTTACGACGAATTACGGACGGCGCTGCGAGTCGTCTGAGCCAATCCAGCGCCGGGAAAGCGCTAGGCCACACTTCTCATAATATACACTCAAGGTGTCCCAAGTAGATTGGGAAGAGAATTGAATTTATTGAATTTGAATTTACTGTGCATAATGTGCCCACAAACAGCTCGAGGCCTTTATAGTATGCACGTATTACAGTCATTGAAAAAACAGATACAAACAAGCAGTACATAATTTTGGAGAGGTAAAGGTATATAAAACCACATAAAACAACGACCACAGCTGTTTGTCAAGCGGCGAACGAGGCTCGTTTAAAAGTTACGAGTGGTGAAAACAAGTATAAATCGCTCCCGTTGAGAAAGGAGAATGCACATTTTATTTCGGTGCCCTTAGCAGACAATGACTGCGTATCTCTACTTGCGCGTTTAGTCATCCCAGAAGTAGAGTAAACAACGTGTGGCAGACGCGAGTACATCATCGTGTTCATTCTAATGTAGCATCCAGCTCATTGAGTTTGTCGAGCACAAATTGTAGGCAAAAGGCTGTCAAACGTTGACTATGAAGGCTCGTCGCACTCAAGAAGCTCCGCCCGAGTCACTCTTCCGCGCACTTGCGCAGAAAAAAGGCAAACCCGTATTCTTACCTTCGGCGTTCATACTCTATGGTCGCTGTGGGGGCGAGAACGGCAGGGCGGAGTTTGAGTTGGTACGCGTTCGGCGCGAAATTCTTACCTTTGGTAACATTCTGGCACCTCGTGAGCTTCAAGCCGCAGTCACCACGCTGCTCGGCCGTGCCATTCTCTGTCTGTGACTGTAGTGCAAGTCTGTTGTCCCGTCTTGGTGCGACTTGCAGAGAGCCATTCGGAACGCGGGGGGCATCCCTGCGTTGGTTCGTCTCCTGAGGAAGACCCCGGACAATGAAATTCGGGAGCTGGTCACGGGAGTGCTGTGGAACCTGTCTTCGTGTGAGGTGCGTGCAGATCGCTAGTTCCCCAAGAACGAACGACAGAGAAAACGGATACGGTAGAATTTCTCCATAGTGAATGCTGATGGAAGCATATGCTTCCATCAGCATTCAATTGTCTACACATAGTTAAGATACTGATATAGTGAAGGTTTTAAAGGAGAATCGGGCTCTAACAGAAGCTAACTCGGATTTCGTGTTTGTCCGTGGTGTATGTGCACATGGCGGGATCTGGCTCCATGTGATTTACGGTGCAAAGTTATGATGCTGCGTGCTGTCACAATGTTAATTGAATCTTGTGATGTTTAGGTGTCAAGTCGTATTGTAACGTGACATCACATTACACTATTCCAGGTGATGTATGTCACGTGATTAATCAGTGTACCACGAAAAAATGGCGCGATAACGCTTTGTTCGTCATGCATTGTAATTCTGCGCAGGGCAGTTTGATCGATAGGTAGAAATACAGCTGCCATTTTCTTTTTTCTGACATGACTGTGGAAGTCAGTCTGCTCGCAGTGTTGAAAAATCTCCGGTTTTTGAAAACTGCAGGGCAAGTTGTCGACGTGCATTTCTTGAGTGTGACCTTCTTTGCCCAAGAAGGTCAAGTTTGGCTCTGCCTCGGCTTCTTGGGCTTTTGATGCCCTAAATTCTCAGACAAAAACCGAAGTTTGGCTCGAAGGACTTTGAGGCTTGACAGTAATTAAGTTTTTTTTAGGGATACCCTTGCCGTAAAATACCGGTAGAGCGCCCACCCCACCTTCACAAGAAACTTGGTTAATCTAGAGTGAGCACTCATGCAGTCAAGACGATAAAAAGGTAAAACCAAGGTGGCGACCAATAAAGACCCTTGAAGGCAGGATGAACGGAATCGAAGAAAGCGGATTTATTTTTTCTCGACATCCCCATCATCGCCTCTGGCAGTCTCGTCGGCCACCGCTACGAGGTTAAATATTTTCGGTTGACGCCGGCACCTTGAGGGGAGTGGCCGCTCGACGTATGATTTGCAGAATTCCCAAGTTCGAGGAATGTTAATAGTGGGCGCTCGTATGAAGTGGACACTTCTGCAGTGTTTCACGGTAATTCGTTGAACAAAAGCAGAAGAGGCGTGTCTGACAGTGGCCACCCCCCCACGCACGTCCCGCAGGAGTTGAAGAGGCCCATCATCGACGACGCCCTGTCGGTGCTGGTGAACCACGTGATCATCCCGCTGTCTGGCTGGGACCGCAACCGCGACCGGGGGGACCACACCAAGCCCCAGGAGATCTACTGGACCATTGTGTTCCGCAATGCCAACGGAGTGCTCAGGTGGGGGTTGCCCGCGTTTGACCTTGCACGCGACATTCCACACATCGTGAAAAGAGTAAGACAAGACGGGTTCTTGTAGACCCTTCCGGGAAATCCCGCAGGGCCTCTCGGCAAGCCCACATTGCACTGCGCGGCGCAGGGAATTTCGGGACTGTTGCAACATTCTCTAGGGTTGTGACATTGTTTTTAGCGCAGAATGTGTCACCTTCCACTTCCAAATTATTTTTCAAAAAGTTAAGTGAATTTTTTTTATTGTTTTTGCCTGTATTGTTTGGATTTAGACAGATTTTTTCTAAAGAAGAAACTGAGCAATTTTTACTATTATACCTTAATTATTAAATACCATTATTTTTTGTATCTACGTATCATGACTACTTGCAATAGAGTTTTTATATTCTTCTTAAACACCAAACAAGTCCATATATTATATACATACAACTTTTTCTTGACACCCTGCAGTCCAACTGTGGCCTGACTTTGAGGACCTAGAAGTTGGTCTTCGTACGATAAATCTCAAAGCATGGGATCACGCAGACCGCCACGTTGCAGTCTTTGCACCAATACAGTGTAGACCGCATATAACGTATGTCGCGGGAGTTGCGAAAATCCGCACTATAAGCGGTACTGCGTTATAACCAAAACATCAATTTTTCAGGCCAAAATGCAGGGTGAAACAAGGAGACGGCAGGCTCTTCAAATCGACCGGAAAATTTGGTTTCTTAACATATTGCGCTACGACTTTGTGGAGCGTTGCCCACAGATGGTTCATTTTTTTTGTAAAATTTGCAAAGAGCGAACTTACCTGAGGAAAAAGTAAAGAAAGAAAAAGGCTTAGCTCCTATGGAAACTCAGCGACGCCACCGGTCTGCAAACAACACGGCGCCGTTTCGCACGGGACACAAGAGATGGCGCAACGAACGAGCATACGGCGCCTAGAGCCAGCGTCTTTAGCAGGCAATCTTTTCGACTCAAAAGCAACGCGCGTTCCGTAGGCGGCGACAGTCGCAGAAACAAAAACAGGCACAGTAACAACGAGGAACTGCAGTTCCTTGTCTGCTAAATACGCCGGCTCTCGGCGCCGTACGCTCGTTCGTTGGCGGCGTTCGTTGCGCCATCTCTTGTGTCCCGTGCGAAACGGCGCCGTGTTGTTTGAAGACCGGTGGCGTCGCTGAAATTCCATAGGAGCTAAGCCTTTTTCTTTCTTTACTTTTTCCTCAGGTAGGTTTGCTCTTTGAAAATTTCGCAAAAAAAATGCACCATCTGTGGGCAACGCTGCACAAAGTCGTAGCGCGATAGGTTAAGAAACCAAATTTTTCGGTCGATTTAAAGAGCCTGTTGTCTTTTTGTTTCACCCTGTACATGCCATGAAGCAACTTACCTTTGTAAAACAAATTTATTTTATATTAGATGAAAAATAAAGCTTAGGTTTAGGAAATTCTTTATTTCACCAGACTAGTACACTTCTCTCTCAAGTGTGTCACACATTTTGAAAGAAATGAGCGACTTTTGCCTGGCGCAGCCTTTTAACGGCATCGCGGGTCGTGGACGTACGTTGCTAGCATTCAGGATTGCTAACCCTAATCACTTTTCTCCAGCGATGAAAACGCGTGAAAATTCGCATCTTTTATACGGTACGCGCCAGTAATACCTTCAACTTTAGCACAGGCATGAAATGCTCCAAATAAGAAATCCGGGCGATGTTCGAAAACACAAATGCTTAGAAATCACCACTGTAGTCGAAGTAAACAAACACGACGACACGGGCGTTTCTGCCGTCTTGAGAGCACCGCCACGACATCGCCGCACGAGCAGGTGGATCTTCCCTTCTAGTACGTGCTGGGTTATCATAGCGGCACACAGCGAAAATTTAGTCAAGGATAGCGCTTTTACGCGGAACGAACCACGCCGTCTACGTCGACGATCACAACCGACGCCATGTTTGCGGATAGAAGTAGCCGGCCCGCGACCGGCATGCAACGCGCGCAAACACTTCTTTTCGACCTGCGATTGGCCTGTCGTTGCGGTTACGGAGGGACGCACGCACGTGAACGACACGTGCGTGCGTCCCTCCGTCGCTATGGCCCCAACTGAAGCCTCTCTCTTCGCTTCTCCCGACTTCTTCGAGCAACCTCCTTGCCCCGCGAGTGCCGCATGTTGTTGCGGCTCGCGCCATCATCTAGTGTCGCACAGGGAAGCGTGCTCTCTGCGTCGGTCAGTCGGCGCGGTCGCCGGGCTGTTCCGAAAAGTGCACTATAACCAGTATTTCCCTTCGCGCGCCTGCATTTTAAGCGGTATCTAATTACATAGAGTTCTATGGGAGGCGAACCGGTGGTTTAATAAGCCGCGTTATACCCGGTCCTGCACTATAAGCGGTTACGTTGTAAGTGGTCTATACTGTATCTTGTTTCCTTCCGTGTCTTGGTCCCTCCGGCAAATGAGGCCTCGTTGCAGACGACACAGCGGCGTGTCGGGAGCTGCTTGTTCTCTTTTGGAGGAATGAAGCTTACAAAATGGCGAGCTGTAAACCTCGTGGCTTCATTGTCAAACTTCCTTCCAACCTTCTTCCGCTGGCTCTCATCCTGATTTGCTGCAACCACCTTCTCTATGATGTCCTGTCAGTAGACCCGGAGTTTGCCTCCTTGTTTCTTGTACAGAACAAAAGAGTCATAGACAAACATGTTGAAAAGTTGCGTAAAGATCTTGTTGTAACAGAGCTCCTGCCCATCTCTCACTGTCGGGTAGTAAAAGAGGTTCTGGTTGTTCTTGTCGACACCTTCTATGAGTTGTTCTAGCTGTAAACCACGGCAGGCTTCAGAACTTTCTGGTTCCAAGCATTGACTCCTTCGACAACCGTTGCATCGTGAACTGGGCTCAGTAAGGTAACTAAATTTTTGTCCTGCCATTGCAGGAGCTTGCGCTTTCCTCGCTGAAACATTCCTATGTCTTTTTCTTTGGTTTGAGGTCTTTGAAGAGGGGCATGTCCTTCCTTGTTGGCCAAACTGTTCCATAGATATCATATTTTTTATGCAGGAGTTTGTCTAGAAGTTCTGGAGAGGTGTAGTAATTATTGATAGTGACGCAGCACCCTTTGCAAAGGAAAGGTTCCGTCAGGGTCATGACGACCTTCATGCCCATGGCACTGTACGCATCTGGCATAACAGTCCCCCTTCCATTGTACACGATGAGGTTAGAGGTGTACCCTCTCTTAGGCTCGCAAGGCGGAAAAAACTTCACACCAAAGCGTGAGGGCTTCAGTGGCAGGTACTGTTTTGAGGATAGCCTCTCTTTGTACAGCATAACGCGAACGAAAAGAGTTTTAAGCGAGGTCTTGGCGCAGATGGTCGATTTTCTCTGGCCCCAATATTTTAACGAGCCTCGCACGAAAAGCATGCTTTTAGCTCTCAATTTGGACAGAGTTCCTCGTAGCGCAACGTTGGGCTAAATTACCCATATGCCGATGTCTTTTGCGGGGTTCTGACATCTGTGGGGGGCCTTCAGGAACGTGAGCTCCGCGGGGGAGTACGCCCGGCAGAAGCTGCGGGAGTGTGAGGGCTTGTGCGACGCCCTGGTGCACCTGGTGCGCACGGCAGTGCGCAAGAACGACATGGACAACAAGAGCGTCGAGAACTGCGTCTGCATTCTGCGCAACCTCTCCTACCGCTGCCAGGAGGTGGAGGACCCCGAGTACGACAGGCACGCCACCCCGCAGCCGCCGCAACTGCCCTCCAGGGCCACTGCATCCGCACTCAAAGGTGGGTGTCTCCTTCTTGAGGCTTTAAGGCCGGTTCATACACTTGCGACTGCTTACCACCAAGTGCTCTAAAAAAAATGCTAAAATGAAAAATAGGCTTTTTTTTTTTTTTTTGGAAACCCCGAAAGGAGTCATTTTTTTTGTTTCTTTTATTTTTCTGAGTAAAGAAAAAGGTTTTTGCACAATATTTACGTTGAGATGCAATTTAAATGGAAGTCGCTGCCCGCTCTAAGCCTCGCCCATGGACCGTTGGCCCCGTCCATTGCGACCAGATTGCCTCGGCCGCTGTGCGAGCCTATGTCTCCCCATCGCAACGTCCGCGCGTCTGGTCCGACGTCAGACATTGCCCATTAGTCATACAAGCAGATGTGTGGTACCCTCCGGCGGCGTCCGACGTTCCACTACCGTTTTTGATTGTTTGCGGCTCCCATAAAATGCGGCCCAGAGAAGCAGTGCGCCTGCCGTCACTCATCTGTCTGCCATTCTGCCCCCGTCTAAAACCGGCCATGAAGCTTGCAAGACGCAACCACGAAAGCGGCGTCCTTGCGTTTCATAGTGCACAGGCCACGGTCTAACACGAGCGTCAGTCGATGTGCCGTAAAAAGCGACCTAAAGGACTGAAAGAAAATCGACAAAAATAATAAGGTCCTTTCGGCTCTTGTTCTCGTTTTCTTGCATGGCACCCACAAGCAAGCTGTGTTAGTGTCCTGACGCGCAATTAAAATGCAACCTAGAAATATTGGCTCTAGCGAGCCACGTGCATTGCTCAAAACTTGAGATCTACGGGCCTTGCAAAGCAAAATGACAAGAACTTACCTGGACAAACCTGATGCAAGGCAAAAAACCGATTGACTCCTGTGAAATGGCTCGCAGATTCTTACCTGCATAGGTTTCTTATCGGCACTGAAACCACGGTCGCAATCGCGACGGTTGCGCAACTTTTGGAGTAGAGGGGCCAGTTTTCGGGAACCAGTGCATTTATTCGGCATCAAGATGTGCAACCGAACGAATCGAGTCAGATCGAGCAAAACAGTTAAGTCCCACTATGAAAATGAACTCCCACACGGCGCTATGAAAGGCGCATACTCGCGATGGTTGTTTGCCGCAAACTAAGTTGGTTGGGATTTTCCTCGGAACATCTTAGTAAATGCGAAAAAATTTGCACTTGTAAAAATATATGAATTTAACGAGCTCCGCAGTGTATAAACTGTTCACCGCAAGTGCCGGCAGCCATGTTTGTTATCGTTCGAAACCAAAGTGGAAAAGGTGATCTTTCAATATTTTTTGAAAAAAGAATGACTATTTATGTCATTTGTTTCTCAAACATAAAAAGGTGTTGAATAAAAGACTACCGCGGCAGGGAGAAACAGTTTTACGACCAACATTCCGCACGTCGGTCCTGTCTCCAAACAACAAGAGCCGAGAAACAGAGCTAGCTAGCCGAGCACCTTTTGTTACGGACGGGGCCTGGAATAATGCTGCCTTCACCTTAATTGCATCTAGCGACGTAAACATTGCGCTGAAAGCTTGTCTTTTTCGTCGAAATGTTTTTAAATCCAGATTTTACTTAAGCCTTTAGAAAATATATTATTTTCGCATTTTAGTGTTTATTTTTAAAGGGCTACTCTGCTTCCTTTTGGCTTTTAAAAAAAAATGCAGCCCTCTTCAGTATCCCCTAAGAAGACCACACATCAAATATTACGACCTAATTCTGTCTAAATGTTTCTTAAACAATCTGGCAAACTTTGTAACGCACCAAGTTCCCGAAATTGGCTGACTCTGGTGGGCGAATTGAGGGGCAATCAATGGCGCAGTCAAGCCTACGGCATTGGCGCAGCCAACATTTAGCTAAACGTCATCACCATTGCCCCTTTTTGTTTGTTTTTACTTCGGAGAAACGTAATGGGCAATGTCAGCAACGTTTCTGCTCAGCGCTCAGTGGTGTCCACGTGGTTGGCGTAATGCGCGTGCGCAGCGCGCTTCTTTGGTATTCTCCAGCCGTCTCGCCGTTACTGCCGTCTCCCGCGTCACAGCCGCCATTGTCGTCTCACCGTTTGTGATTCTTGACTCTCGGTAGTTTCGTTCACACTACGTGCGCAGACTGATGTCGTAGTTGTGCAGACGTCGTCGAATGTTGTAGACATTGAAACGTGGTGAAGAGTGTGGTGCAGACGGCACTTGCGCCTGGCACATGCATTCCCCAACGCCAACGATGGCCTGCCGCCCCGCCCCAATCCCGCCTACATTGCGTGGGGGATCACGTGACATCTCGTGCGACGTGATAACCATGGTTTCGGGAGCCCAAGGCCAGTGTTGTCAGAAGGAGCCGAAGTTTCGGTTTTGATTTCTGCTGACGTTTAAAGTAGGATTCAACAATATATATCCCATTTTTCGTGAAGCAAATGACTTAGTGCTTTTTATTAGTCTTTTCTAATGTGAAATCACTCGTTATCCAGAAATTTTTGGAATTGAGTGAAGTTGCTTTTTAAGGCTACCGTATATACTCGAGTAATGGCAGCACTATTTATGAACAAGGTCCTTGCGTCTACTTTACCGCAAAGCACATATACAGCCAATCATTGTGTTGCACATAAATAATATAGCGAATAACTAGATGGAGATTACGATTCTCCATACAAATGCAATATTCACAGAGGGTATCTTTGCACGAAAACATCTCTGTCCTGTAAACTGCTGGAATCATGCCGTTGATCGCGGCGATTGGCAATTCGGGTGCTCCGCGGAAAAGAGAACCCTCAGGTTTTCTTCATAAACAGTGCGGCTATTACTCAAATAAATACGGTGGTTCACACATTTGTGTCGGTTGTCTCCAGAGCAACTAAAGCAACAGCCATGACCCGAACACTTGGACAGCTGCGCCTCACGATTGCTTCAGAAAGCTACTTACTGGTCCTCCGTGACGTCATGCAACACTGTGACATTGTGGCGCCACGTGACGTGACATCACGACGTGATGGGTGACGTGATGCCACGACGTGAAGGGATGATTTGACACAATCTGTTGTGATCTGATGTCACATGGCGAGGTCACGAAGCATCAGGTGACACTCTGAAATCACGTGATACTGCGACATTGTGTGACAATAAGACGTAGCATGGCACCGTGGTGACTTTATATATTCATGAAACTTTTGCAGTGTGCCCTTCAGTGTCCTTCATACTGAGCCCATGTGCCGTTTCGGGAGCAATGGGGTCCCCAAAAACATGCACAGAGCACAAAAACACAAAAAGGCACACACACAACACGTAGAACTTCAAGTGCACATTGAAATCGTTATCACGCTCGGTGCGGTCGATTACTAGGGTCGAGAAAGGTGAAACAGTGTGGCAAGGGCCGTCGCGCTCATCCCTTTCGGTTGCCTTGTTCAGTGGGCGACAGCCTGGGTTGCTTTGGCGCCAAGAAGAAGAAGAACGAGGCCCTGGAGAAGCAGAAGAAGGAGTCTGGGGGTGCCGGGGTGTCGTCGTCCGGTTCCGCCGGGTCGGGTGGCGGCACCCCCCGCCCCCACACGGACCCCCCCACCGGGATGGAGCTGCTCTGGCAGCCCGAGGTGGTCCAGCCCTACCTGGCGCTCCTCTCCGAGTGCTCCAATCCAGAGACCCTCGAAGCTGCCGCCGGCGCCATACAGAACCTGGCGGCATGCTACTGGCAGGTGAGCTGCCGCCGCCATTTCCAACTGCCCGTTCTTCTACCGTGCGTTCTGAAACTCAAAGCTGCCAGCTTTGCATTGGTAGATTCTTAATGCAGAATGTGTGTCATGGGAAATTTCCTACAAGGAAATTGTGACGAACAAACGTCACAAGGTGACAGGCGTTGGGATTTCAAATAAAGTTTATACATGAAGTTCGAGCCTTGCAGGGGCTCAAACCCGGGTCAGAGTGGTGGGAGTCTGATGTCGTAGCTACCGAGCCCTTAGTGCAGCTGGTTTGGCGGAATAAATTATTCTTATTTGAACCTAGATGTGCTGCAGATGAGAGTGGTGGGTTTCGGGCTGAAAACAGTCACTAAAACAAATAAAAGTGTGACAAAAATTAATTGATCCAAAGTAACAAAATTGAAATTATAAAATAAAAATACTTAGAAAATAAAATAATAAAATATAAAGATGGGAAAATCTCGCATAAACGACACACAGATTGTGGATTGTGCGGGACACGTTCTGTGCTCCCACGTCGGCATGATCGAGCCTGTGGGCTACTCTTCTGCTAAGCAAATGCGATATTGTCGACGTGTCTGGAATACCAGAGCGAGCCAAATCATATATGAAAAATATTTTATTCGCAGCGACGGAGCCGCTGCGCCTTTTGCACCAAACTGCGCCACGATCGCGAGCCTGCCAGATGTCACGCCAAAATACATTTTCCGAACATCGTACCACACCTGCACCAAGAAGAGCTTGAGCGAAGCAAAAAATAAAAAGAAAAAGATGGGCTGTGTAAAGGGGAGCACGGCGCATCTGTAACCTAAAATGGAAATGCTTCCCTTTGGCTTAGTCTGAAAGTAAGCAAATCAGTGAAATCAAGCCATTAGTATTATGGGGGGGTGTTGAAGATGTTTCTGAAAAACTCGTGCCCCACAGCTTGAAGTCGAGCCTCACTGTTTTACACCGGAGCAGGTGTAAAGCAGTGAGAGAGTTGAGAGAGTGAGGCTATATAGAATGTTAAGCCATTCATTGGGAAGTACAGGAGGCAAATGAGTTTGCGCCATTGGCAGAGAGCGGGCTGGGCGTGTTCCAGGGCATCTTCACAAATTCGGATGTGGCCATCTACAAGCCTCGAACAATGCCCTGGTGGTGGTCGTGAGAAACAAAAGTAATAAGTGCGTCAGAGTAACTCTCGATGACTGAAAATATGTTGCATGTGATTTTTTGATCAAGGTCATGCAGAATCAAATTCTAGGAGAACGATCAACGTGATCCGATTGCTAGGCGTCGAGGGCTGGGAAAAGGTTGTCCGAGCGGTCAGACTCCGACCGAGTAAGACAGACTTTGAGCGGCACATTCGATTCTTATATCCCTTTGTATGATCATAATGAAAACATCATGTGCACTATATTTTCAACCACGTATAGTTACTCCATTTAACCATCACGCTTTATTAAAATTGTTTCTCGCTACCACCGCTAGGGGATAATTTTCGGGCTCTGGTTGGCCAAGAGAGCACGTCACTCCTTCTATTTGCATCTCGTGCATGCCCTGGCTCTGCCCGCTCCTCTGATTGACCAAACTCTCTCTCTATACGGCCCGGCACTGGAGCACGCGGGTCGAGCTTCACTGCTATGCGTCGGCATGCCAGGAGCAGTGGCTGATGCGGGAGAGCATGTGCATTATCATTATGGTCTCGAAAATTATGCTCACTGGCAGTATAGGTCAAGCAACAATAAAAAAAAGTAAAAAAAGAAAACTCATAAATTTTAGATAAACATTGTAACAAATGTGATAGTCAACCGTTAGTCAACCGACAAGCCACCGCACTGAACTCTGGCTGAAATTAGCTCCAACGCCGCTGATATGCTGTAGAGTAATGCAAGATGGTGGTTTCAAAGCACAAATGTAAGTTTACTCACTTTTTGTGAATGGTGGTTCTTACGTAGTCCTATAAACACGGGTGTACATATTTTTGTCACTCAACGTTTTAGAGAATATGCGTGTCTTTTTGCCGATATTTTATGGGAGTTACGTTGGAGGGAGGGGGCAGGGTGCTTCTTCCGAACTGAAGTGTTGCACTCGATCCACGCAAAAATCTTTATTTGTTTGGGGAGTAGTGGATAGTACAACCATTTTTCCTTTTGCCAATACCTAAACCTTTCCATTTTTATTTTTTTTAAATAAGTATTAATATTCCAAAAATGAGAAATATGTTTTGATATGAAAATATGAACCTTCAGTCATCATCAAGGACGTGTTTTCTATATTTCATATTCAAGTAACACGCTACCATACATGTTGGCACTTGCTCTGAAACCGTCGGGTGCTGCTGCAAACCAACATTTTGCCCAGTACAAGACTTGCTACAAAAGGTCAAGTGCCGCTTCCTTCACTATCATACTCGAGATCTTCGCATTTCCCACACGCTCATACTTCGTTTCAAGCTCTCGTCTCGTTAACGTCGACGCCTCCGTTGGCCCCCAAAAATTATCCGTAATGCGAGTCGCCCAGGATGACGAGAAAAGTAATTGCGTCGTGCGTTTGTTTTTACGGCGGGAAGCTGGTCAACCCCGGTTGGCATCTGACGTCTCCGACGTAGACGAGAAATCTGACCAGCACGGCACAAGTTCTAGCCCCGGGGACTTTAACGCGCGCTGCACAATAGCGATTCACGCCGGTACGACGCGTGGACATTGAATTCGGGTTCCCTAGTTCCTTTAGCGCAAGTTTTTGCTCCACGTGCTTTGAGCTGCTTAGCGCTGTCGGCCACCGATCTCTCTCATAATGAAACAACAATGCATGTTCATCTCCGGAACTTTTTCTTTTGGGGGGGGGGGGGGTCCATATTGTTAATGTGGTTTTTTTATCGAGACATGATGGCAACACAACTAGGCAGACGACGAAAGCGATGGCCTCGGCAAGCCGGTCGGAGCAAACAACGTGACAACTCGCCGTCAGAGTGCTTTCTTCCTGCGGAGAACCGTCACGCGCTTCACTCCTTCACTCCGACCAGCTTAGTGGGACTGTAGCTCGTGTCTTTTGCCAAGCGACACTAAAACTGAGTATAATTGACTTCTCCAACCCCATGCAGCCGAGTAGGCGTGCGGGCTTTCTCCGTAGAAAGGTCACTTTAGACGAGCGCTAAAGGGATATAACCTCTGGTCTCTCTGCTTCTCAAACAAAACATAGAAACCATTTTTTTTTTTTTTTTCTTTGGATTACGGGGCTGTTCTTAAAATGACTATTGGCGTGGTGGAAAATAGACATTCAGGGCGCTAATCTAGGCAGTGAATTTCGATGCTTGCCGTCACCCCTTCGAAATGAAATGCGGAAAAGTGCCGTGGCCGTGTCAGCGCCAACGGTGTTGCGCAGTATGCGTCCGTTGCCATAGCGTAGATGTGAGTCTTCGGTGCGGGGAGTCGACGCACCCTTTCATTCTCTCTGGCAGCCGAGCGTCGACATCAGGGCGGCGGTGAGGAAAGACCGGGGCCTCCCCGTGCTGGTGGAGCTTCTGCGCATGGAGGTGGACAGGGTGGTGTGTGCGGTGGCCACCGCCCTCAGGAACCTCGCCATGGACCAGAGGAACAAGGAGCTCATAGGTAGGCACCGCCTGTGGTGTCGCTCGAGCGGAGCCACGAAACGGAAGGTGGCATTGGCCTCTAAAGTGGCATGAAACTGGAGGTGGCACTGGGGAATCGGATCGTCGTCCATTCTCTGGCGTATGTGGGGGGAAGGGGGGGGGGGGGGGGGGGGGGGGGGGCGGGCATGAAACGAAAGGTAGCGATGGCAAACTGAATTATCATTCCTTTTTCCGCATGCACGTGACCTTGAAACTGAAGGGGTGGCAAGGGGCTACCTTCACACCCATTTGGTCGCCAGCTCATGAAAGAAAAGGGCACTTACTAAGGAGCCAAGAGATGCTTAATGTTTACCTATGCTTTTTTTTTTTAAATGGGTGTTAGTAAAGAAGATTATCCCTATTTTGTTTTTTAACTTGGAGTGTTATAGAACTGGTTTCCACGAGATGACAGGTCCGCTAAACTAGTTTGTCTTTAGTTTGGATATTTCTTTCTCTAGGTTGTTGTTTTTGCTTGTCAAAGCTTCGAATGGCAGTCAATGAACGAGATGCCTTCTTTCTGCCCCGGTTTCTGGCAGGCAAGTATGCCATGAGCGACCTGGTGCAGAAGCTCCCCAACGGCAACCCGCAGCACGACATGGGGACGTCGGACGACACCATTGCGGCCGTGCTGGCCACCCTTAACGAGGTGATCGTGCGCAACGGCGACTTTGCCCGCTCTCTCCTCGAGGCCGGGGGGGTCACACGGCTCACCTACATTACCAAGCAGAAGGGACGCTTCTCGGCGCGCGTCGTCAAGTTCACCTCTCAGGTGAGCTTCGGCCGATCTGTCGCTTTCTTTATCTCGAAGTCTCGCGTAGGGGAAAAAATTTGCTTTTTGTTTGTGTGTGTGTTTGAAATACTGTGAACCTTCGCAGTATGGGAAAAGACAGAATGCATTGTAAATTATGAGTCACGTAATTAAACATTATAGCTAAACAAAAATGGTACACATAACAAATATTCGCACATGCGGACAAACCATTTAACTAAGCAGTTTGTTCGGCTGGATTTCAAAATAATCGACAGTACGGCATTCAACAACTTGTACGGGGAGAGCGGAAAGAAAAAGCATCGCAAATTTTCAGACATGCACTCGAACAATTCCATTTCTTTTTTTAACCATCATCATTATCATTATAATTTTTACACTTTGAGGTCCCATACACGCTTTACACAGGAGGGGTGGACGAGGGCATCGTTATATAAAGGAAAAGAGAAAGCTTGAATTGGAATACTTTTAAAAGGTTCATTGAAGTTTCTGGGGTCCTTTTTTGGCCTTTAAAGGAACGATGCAGACGCAGTGATGTGATTGCTGCACCATTTGCACTACATTTTACCGAAATGTGAGGAATTTGTGTCAACGTTGCTTCAAAGCTTAATTTCGCTGTAATAATATTGAAAATGTAATAGCTCAGGCCTCGCTGCCCGGCCGGGCCATTACGATGTGGTTATGCGAGTTTTCGGGACTTATGAGTATCGTCTCAAATAACGTACTATTCGACTGCATTTCGTATGCAAGACTAACAGTACTCAGAAGTTTCACAATAATTCTCATATTCGTTAGTTTCGTTGAGTGCACTTCTCCTCGCGCATCGGTGTACTGCAGAGAAGCGAAAACTGCGGATTAAGAATCGCAATTTTGCATGTCTTGCTTTGCCGCAGCTCACCCCCGTGCTAAGGGGAAAGCACTCCTCCAGAGCGAGACGCAACACACAATTCCTGAATACAGTGTAGACCGCATATAACGTATGTCGCGGGAGTCGCGAAAATCCGCACTAAAAGCGGTACCGCACTATAACCAAAACATCAATTTTTCAGGCCAAAATACATGCCATCAGACAACTTACCTTTGTAAAAGAATTTATTTCTATGTTAGATGAAAAAATAAAGCTTAGTTTGAGGAAAGTCTTTATTTCACCAGACTAGTACACTTCTATCTCAAGTGTGTCACACATTTTGAAACAAATGAGCGGCTTTTGCCTGGCGCAGCCTCTTAGCGGCGTCGCGGGTTGCGGACGGACGTTGCGAGCGTTCAGGATTGCTAACCCTAATCACTTTTCTCCGGAGATGAAAACGCGTGAAAATTCGCATCCTTTATACGGTACGCGCCAGTAATACCTTGCACTTGAGCACACGCATGAAATGCGCCAAATAAGAAATCCGGGCGATGTTCGAGGACACAAATGCTTAGAAATCACCACTGTAGTCGAAGTAAACAAACACGACGACACGGGCGTTTCTGCCGACTTGAGAGCGCCGCCACGACATCGCCGCTCGAGTAGGTGGATCTTCTCTTCTAATACGTGCCGGGTTATCATAGCGACACACGACGAAAATTCACAGTCAAGGATAGCGCTTTTACGCGGAACGATGAGATGAACGCCGTCTACGACGACGATCACAACGTTGATCACAACCGACGCCTTGTTCGCGGATAGAAGCAGCCGGCCCGCGCCGGGCATGCAACGCGCGCGAACACTTCTCCCGTCGTTGCGGTTGTTGGTTTCCAACGCAGTGGAGGGACGCACGCACGTGAACGACACGTGCGTGCGTCCCTCCGTCGCTGGGGCAACTGAAGCCTCTCTCTTCGCTTCTCCCGCTTCTTCGTGCGTGCGTCCCTCCGTCGCTGGGGCAACTGAAGCCTCTCTCTTCGCTTCTCCCGCTTCTTCGAGCACCCTCCTTGCCCCGCGAGGGCCGCTTGCGCAACGCTTGCGGCTCGCGCCGTCAGCGCCGTTATCTAGTGTCGCACAGGCAAGCGTGCTCGCTGCTCCGGTCGTCGGCGCGGTCGGCGGGCTGTGCCAGAAACCGCACTATAACCGGTATTTCCCGTCGCGCGCCTGCGTTTTAAGCGGTATGTAATTACATGGAGTTCTATGGGAGGCGAACCGGTGGTTTAAAAAAACCGCGTTATACCCGGTCCTGCACTATAAGCGGTTACGTTGTAAGTGGTCTATACTGTACAACTTCAGCTCTTATATATGATAGACTGCAATACCCTGGCGGTACCTTTCCAATTCGGGATTTAGCTAGGGTACTTAGGTATTGCAAGAACATATGCACTCTTTTGTATGTTTATTTGTTTATGCCAACTCATTTGTTTAGCTAAATCACTTTTACATAGATGTGAGTATATTGGAACTAAATTGGCAGGACCAGTGGATGGAAGCTCGGAAATGTAATGAGTTCGGCGGGATTGTTTTGAAGTTTCGTTCACACGCTGTTTTTGTTATGAAGTTCCATGCATAAAATATAATTGACGTTCATAATCAAATGACAAGTGCTTTGTTTTTTTGTCTGAATTTTAAATTGCAGTTTTATAACAGCCTCTGGAACTTAAAGGAAACACTAATTTATGTGCTCAATATTATTGTATTATTTCAGTGGGATTCAGTACTTAAAATAACCGTTCACAGCAGTTTGTGCTGTCCCTGATCGCTCACCTTCTTGTCACACTGTCTGGTGCTTCTCCACGCAACTAAATTCTAGTTTTGTGTTTGAGGGACTCACTCCCTGCTGTGCAATTGATGCTAACAAAGAGTCGCACGTAAGTGGGAAGGAAATGTACAGGGTCGTGGAGATAAATTTGGACGTTTTCCATATTGCATCTCTCAAGAATGCAATGGAGCTAACCGGCCATATTGCGCTTCTGCGGCCACGGATTTCATAGCGGACCATCACATGATAAACAACTCGCGACTTGCTCAAAAACGAGCAGGGAACACGACCGGAGGACAGCAATACTTGAATCGCTTCATGCCAGAAAGTTGCCTAAGCAAATAATTGCATGGAATGGCTACAAGAAGACATAAGTTTACTTAAGTTTACAGCATTGCCAAGGAGTTCAGATAATCTGTCAGCCAGAAAGACGTTATGGCAGACCGAGCAAAGCGTAGAAAACGGTCGATATTAATTTTACCTTTGCCCCTGTGTGCTTTTTTAAATATGGTACATTTTCCAAATTTATCTCGACGACCCTGTAGACATTGCCTTTTAGTTGGACAGGCCGATTCATTGCTCTTACCGTAGTATTTGCAATGTTGTGAGTAAAAATTATGCTACACAAGCTTTTGCTACTTCAAAATGACTTCGACCAATCACATCACTGAGACGCTGACCCGCAGACACAGCCTTCCTTGCGTGTTTTTTTGCCGCTTACTTTTAACTTGTTTTGTATCTGAGAAACACTTCCTCTTTTAAAGGGCAACTTTGTTCAGGATTTTTAATTTGGGATTACGACGGTTTTCAGCTAAGGAAGTGTCCCTGAATTACAAGGTATAATTTTTTTTAGATATTGTTTGTAGTTTTATAAATGGCACGGGCTCAAAGTTTGGTTGCGGGCGTCTACGGCAAAACCGAAACTATCTGCTAGACAGCTGTACGGCCGCGACGTGATGTCACAAGAGTGCTCCGGTACATCGTACAACCAATCAACTGCTGCACCACCGCGACGTGACGTCACAAGGGTGTTGCACCAGGGTTCCTCGACTAAAACCTAACCCGCTTGCCGCCCGCTAAAGAGCAGCTGGTCGCATACTTTAAAATCGGTTTTAGTGGAGTATGCAGTTTCACTTTGACATCATATATCAGCTGTGATAATATTTCGTGCCACTAAAGCTATACCAATCATTTATTTTGGTTTTGTTTTCGACCGAAGTTGTCCTTTAAAGACGGAAAGTGTTTTCTGGAGAGTAAGGAGAAGTATCTGTCCCTACTTAACCAGGTAAGTTGCCATTCTTAATAGCAACTTACCTGCACTCTGATCTTGTTTCAAGGACCTCATTGTTTCGTTGGCACTGTGTGGGTTATCTGACTGGATTCCTAGGAACCTAGGGATTCCCTAGAATACCTTCAAGGGTTTCCCCGGTCTCCCAAATTTTCTAGACTGTCCCTAACCCAGAGCAAAGTGTTTTCCCCAGTTTAAGCACTAGTTCAGCCAATCTGAGCCACACAGGACGTACAGCCACAGGGGAGGGCCATACGTCCGCCTTTTGAGGAAGATGAGGGTTCCTCGACACAGAAAAGTTTACCTGCAAGGGCTAACCGTGCAGGGGTAAACTCGGCTTTGAACTGTGTACTATATTGAAACCTGCACTAACGTGTTCTCTGTTTTTACCGCCACGCGTCTCAGCTGCTGTACAACATGTGGCAGCACGTGGAGCTGCGTGAGGTGTACAAGAACGCCGGGTGGCGGGAGTACCATTTCCTGACGCGCACCCTCGTGGCACGCAACTCGTCCCCGACCTCGAGCGCCAACAACACCCTGAGCCGACCGATCAGCTCGCAGGGAGGCACCCGCTACGAGGACCGCACCTTGCCCCGCGTGGCACGCGAACTCAACAGCGGACAGCCTCCAGGTGAGCTTACGGGCCTTCCCTTTCTAGGCCTCGCTCGGGTTTTGACTGCCTCTCGATTGCCTTCTTTCCACGTATAAGGTGCTATTTGTGGTTGTTTGGGGGCAGTTTGGATAATTAATTCGCGAGTTTCTCGGCTGCATCTAACTGTTTATTTTTTTCTGCTCTTTTCAGTGAACATGCCATACAGTCGGGTGAGTGTTGTACCCTTGGCATCTTTGCCACTTGCACAATTGCGACGGTTAAGTAATGACCAGATGGCAGTGCGGTCCTGCCTATTTTGTTGCGAGGAATATACGCTGCGTGCCAATTTGGTTTGTAGACAAGTTTGTGCCGTGAACTTTGTGGAAACTGTTTGACGGTCTCGCTTTCGCTTGGGAATGTCTTCCGTACACCGACGTCCTGCAACTTCACAATTTGCATACACGAGTGTGAAAGAGCGATGAGAGAGCGCATTATTAATTAGCAAAAAGCTGTACGTAACTAGGCAAACACCAGACGTATGCAACTTTTAAGCACCAGCTTGCTCTTACGAGACAAGGTTTGGAAAAAAAGCAGTTTACATGGGCAAGTGGAAGCATACTTAAAACACAAGCTGTTTTTTTTTTTTTTTTATATTGCTATTTCGATAAAAGAAAAGTGAGGCTCAGGTTCCATGTAAATATGATATTTCGTTGCAAACTTACTATAAAATGCGAGATCAAATCAAGCTACCGACAGATCGCTTGTTCGTCTGCACCCGCATTTCGCACTCAGTAAAAATGTCACAATGATGGATGGTGGCAGACGGTCGTGTTTAGCACAACTTAGGCTCCAGTATGGGCGTCTCTTTGCACCAGCAAATACAAAAAATTGTAAAGGCGTATCCTTCTTCAATGCCTGGTTCTTGTTTGAACGAAACCTCCCTAGTCTTTGTTTATACATACTGCTCCGGTGTCCTTCCTACTAATAAGAGCGCAGTCAACATCTAGATAATGGGGCCATCGTCGTCGTCTCTTTACTTCTGTCGTAGTGCTGGACTTTATACATCCGACTTGGGGACGTAGAAAGCCTAACACTGTGGTATTGCTGCTTAGGAAGTGTTGCCGCCACTTTGCTTTAAATGTGTCGCATTTATATGGCCCGCGATTGGCGCCTCGACGTCTGTAAGACGTAGTCTCAGCAGCGACGTTATTGTGTACTAATCGATTTGCCGTGACATCATTGCATCGACGTCCGGCGTTCGCGCGGCCGACGTCTTCGGTGCGACAGTCGTCACGTGAGGTCGCGTAATAACGCAATTCCGTGATATTGCGTGACACTGCGATGGACGCGGTACTGTGTCATTGTTTTGTCGTGTCACGTGGTTACGTGACAGGTAATGGGTCACTTGCGAAACGTGACAAGTCAATCGCGGGCCTGTCACCTGTCACGGAACTTTCGATTATGTTATAAACCGGCATTCGGCAACCCGCGAGGCAGTTTCGTGCTTCCCCTGGCACGACACCAGAAAAGCGCCTTTCCCCCCAGTGCCGCTTGCTCGCACGCACTTGAGGACCATGTGGCAGTTTTGACCTGAAACAGGGTTAGACAGGAACGAATGGACAATGCCACTTCCAGTTGGCATTGTCCATCATCCCCGCACTTAGGCAGTTAACAACTTCACCTCTTTTTTACCTCTTGAGTGGAAAGCGCTGAATAAACAAGGACGAGGAAGGAAACAGGGACGAAGCTCACTCTCAACTGAAGGTTTATTGAAACAAACATTGACTATTAATACCGTCTATCTGGGTGTTGGCTCAAAAAGAAAAACTCTTTATCTGTTAAGTGCAGTGACGGCACACTAGTACAGAGACTCTCCCCTTGCTCTCTTATGTGGAATGCCTCATGTATTTCTCATGCTGTTATGTTTGCGTATCTGCCCAGAACTGTTGTTTTTTCCGATTCCGGGCCACATGGGCACCTATCACAGTGCACCGCAAGATTGCCCGACGGGGACTGTTTCACTGACCAGGCATGTTCCCTGGCCCTTTATTTATGCAATGCCCGCCCCGTTTGGCCCACATACAATTTCCCGCAACTCATTGGTATGTTATATGCCACTGATGTTGCACACTCCGCGAATTGCTTAGCATGTTTCTTTTGACACACTTTACCTGTCTTATGCGGAATACATGAGGCATTCCGCATAAGAGTGCAAAGGGAGAGTCTGTGTTAGTGCGCCATCAATACACTTAACAGATAAAGAGTTTTTCTTTTTGAGCCAACACCCAGATAGACGGTATTAATAGTCAATGTTTGTTTCAATAAACCTTCAGTTGAGAGTGAGCTTCGTCTCTGTCCCCTTTTTCGTTTTTGTTTATTTGGCACTTTCCATGCAGTGATGTACCAACCAGCCCATTTATCTATTTTTTACCTCTTCTTTGCCTGCCCCCTTCGCGACTCGCCATCCATCCCCCTCCGCGTCGACTCGGCTCGCCGTTGCGAAAGATTGCCAACCCATGTTGCGAACGACAGTTTCTTGTGGATAGTGTCTTGTCTTGCAAATACCGCAAAACCTTCGCTCTAGCAAGACGCAGTTCCAAAGTTATCTTCCAGATGGTGCCAGGGAGCCAGTGTGTTGTCTCGTCGTAAGTGATCGCAGGAACTCGGTCCTAAGCAAATGCAAGTGTGTGATTGGGCCTTAAAAAAAACTAAAAAGGTCCTTGAAAAAAAAAAAAAAGATGAGTTAGAGGGGAATTTTAACATATTTTTGTCCCATGAATTTGCATGTGACCTGAACCTGAACGTAATCATATGACCTGAACGTATTGATAGGTGCGAGAAAAACCAAAAAAAAACATTTGCCGGAGGCGACGTCGTACCCGCAGGTTTCGACTGCCTCTTGTGTGCAGCTCATGGGGGACCGCATGCGGCATTTTTGACTGCTCGGCTAAGGCTTCCGGAAGGTGCAGAAATGTCGAGATCTCTGTACACTGCGTCGCGATTCCCTTCTTCCACCGAACATGCTGGGAAAGAGGGGTTTCGGTGTCGTTTTAAAAGTGCCGTCATGGCTACTTGGCGCATCAATGTGAAATGCAACTTTGATATTCGTGATTTCGGAGGCCAAATGAAGACCATTGAAGTATTTCTTCTCAAATACAGAAGTGCTTCAGTTTCTTTTTGATGCACGGCGTCCTTAAAAAATACAAAAAAATTCAGGTTTCTTTTTTTTTTTTTTTTTATTGCACTTCTTGGCGGAAGGGGTTGGGTGACTCTGTGTCTTTTTCGGTGCAGAGCGAGGAGCTCCCGTTGAGCGAACTGAGCCACGGGGGCCCCGAGGCCCAGCAGCCGGGCTCTCCGCAGCCCGCCCAGCCGCAGCAACCCACTTTGCATCGTCCCCCCGTCGGAGGCGTCCCCATTTTTCCGCCCGGGCCCGTGAGTCGTCCCCTTTTCCTACAGATGTCGAAACGAGCACCGTTTTTTGTCCGTTCGGCGTAGCTTTTTGGCACCGCGTTTGGGTGCAACATGCATTTGAGTTTGAGTGCGGAGCAATTCGTCGCGTGTGCCGTTTGGAGGTTGACTGTTGCATTCCGTGCGGTTGTTTTGGCCTGTAGCATCGATAGAGTTGTGTTGTCGCTTAATGTCCGTCACTATCGAGACAATCATGTGACACTTAGGTCGTGTTGTTGTGTGACACCGTGACATCACGAGGCACTGAAGTAGTAGTGTCGGGTGACGTGACCCGGCATCGTGTCGCATGACACCATGAGCGACATAAGGTCACGGGGCCACATGCTTTTCCGATGGTCATGCGACTTCACGGTGCCGCACGACATCATGGAGGAACCATAATAGTGTGCATGAATGGCTACATCTTCATTGCATAGTACTGCGTTAAAACCTAATTAGCAACTGGGTATTGGTAAGGGGACAGCTATGGACGTCAGATATTCGAGGCCAGGCCTAACTACTGACATAAAGCTTTATAGCACTCTATGTCAGAAGGGAAAGTGTGAGGCCATTAAGCACATAAAAACGCAAGAATTTATTATTTTTTCTCTGTAACGGCAGCTAGCCTTACTTTGAAGTGCAAATTTGTCTCTCCTGTGGAGGACTTTCAAATGTTCTTCCTGTTTGTGTTGCCACGGTAAAAAAAGAAAATTGAAGGGAAAAAATGGTACCTACTTGTGGAGCTTGATCCTTGCAGATCCAGTTTGGTGCTATGGTGGAGAAAAAAAAGTTGTAGAAAATTTCCCAGTGTGGTACTGCTTTACTATGTTTACCATTGACTAACTAACTAACATTTCACCTTTCAAATTAACCTATTGCAGTTTTGTTAACTTGTCTCAGTGCTGTGATAGAATGCCGACTCTATATCAAACTTAACTTTCAGTGTTAGTTCTACTTTACTTTACCATTGACTGACTAACAGTTTGCCAACTAACTTACTGCAGCTTTTGTGAACCTGTCTATCTCATTGTTGTGGTATAGACTGACTCTATTGGGCTATCAATCCTCGCTCACCTTCTAACAAATGTTGCTTCTTGAGGCTTTTGGTAGCTTCTTCTGTGTGGCTTTGTGTGTGTGTGTGTGTATCGTCTCTCTAACCTGTGGCTCTCTCTCCCAGCCTCCCGGTTTCTAACATCTTCCCGACCTGGTCTTACACTCCTCTAACTAAAACTTGGTGGGTCCTGTCCTTCCGGATTTCTCTCGCATGACCTCTTACTTTTTGTCCGTCTGCCAGCGTTAGATCCCCTGGTGAGGGTGCCACTTAACAAATCTAGCCGCCGCAGGTGCATCGAATGCGCCTGCTGTTAAACCGTGCGGATTATCCGTCCATCTCACCTCTGCGTGTCATTGTGTCGAGCTATTTGATGCCAAGTATGTTTCGTTTCACCGCAAGCCAGAGAGCTGCCGACGCTACAGGCCGACAGGGCCAATCTGGCAAGCACAATGTCACGGCGTTTGCTCTTGCTGGCTAAATTAATCGGGTACTTAAACTGCGCCATGACCTGGCCTTCTAGTCTGTGCTGTGTTTCTATGTCCAGTAGCGCTTGGCTACTCTGCGACGTTGGAACAATCTGGTGTTCTGCAGAAAAACACCGTGCTACCCTTACTGGTGTTATGTGAGAAGGTTGGTGCGGTGTATAGTTGCAGTTGGTTGAAGCAGAGACGGCCCTAGATTTTTATAACTTTTGTTTCTATGTAGTAATTTATGTGCATAATTTGTAGCTGTAGCAAATCTAGTGGTACAGATGATAGGGCAATGGTTGCACCTAGTGCAATGACAAAGGATAATTTACGAAACTGCATTTGTTATTGTGTTCTCTCACGAGTTGGAGTTCCTGGGTTTGGAGTTTGGAAAACATCTGGACACTCTTTTAGGGACTGGTTGAAGTATACCAGTGAAGCTCTAGTTTTTTCATCTGTGTTTTTAACTTGCTGCAGTTAATAGAAACCTGCCTTTCTCTTTCTCTCTTTTTTTTTTTTTTTTTGTGGTGTAACAGATGCATGACATGATCAATCACTCGCCTACACAGTTGAAACTGTTGAAAAGTCAAGACATACGGGAGAGTAGCGTAGCAGGCAAAATCAAAAGGCACTGGCATTACACTTGGAACTCAAGAACCAAACACTCCCACACACTTCTTCCTCCTATGAATGGCTAAAACTGCAAAGTCGTCCACGATTTGCAACTTAATTGCATCACAAATAGAAGGTTGCTCTTCCACACACCGCCACTTCAGCATGGCAGTGTGGGTAAGCGAGATGTCCCTGCAGAATTTTGCATTTTGTCCTTGCACGCTACTCAAGGAGTTTTCTTTCAGTACTGCTAATCAGTAACCTGCAAAGTATGTTTCAGTGCATACCAAGTGTCTGTAAAAAAGTTCACAGGTTTTTACAGCGGAGCTGTTAAGGGCTAGTTTCTCCAGAATTGTGTCCGGTACCAAACAAACGTCGACACCCATGGTCGACACAACACTCTGGTTGCCGCCTTCGCTCATAGATGGCGGTAGCTGCCCAGAGTGTTGTGTTTGCGGGTTGTCTGCCTGCTGCCGTCGCTCATAGATTGTGGCAATGGCAGCAACCTGACAACTGGTTGCTGCCGTCGCTGATAGATGGCAGCAATGTTTCTTCGGAGGAAGAAGAGCGGGAACGGAACAAGTGGCAGTGTGCGCTGCAGCGCGAATGGTTCCGCAACCGCCGCGAGGCTGCTATCGCCTAAAGTTCACTGTGTCGAGCACTTCAGATTCCCTTGCGAAGAGCAGATCGCTCGCCCGGAAAGCCACTGCCGAGAACAAAAACTACAGCTCTGCCGCTCTTTTTTTTTTTTTTTTTTTTTTTAATTTTACCACAAAACTAAACTACCGTAAAGTTACGTAAGGATGCCCACCCAAAATGAAGAGATAAATGGTGAAAAACATGGGGTGGGCTATCTTCGGCGGTTCGACAGCTAAAGTTTACCAAAAATTAATGATAAACACCGCCCGGGGAACCCGCTACAAACCACGTGACGCGGGGAACTGATCCTGCCGGTCACGGACACGACAAATTCATGTTTCACGATGCGATAAATACACGGTAATTTGCTACAAACTATTGTCACAGGAAAGGATTCGCATTTCACAGCAGATTCACATTTCACAATGCAATATACACGCGACAACTCGCTTGTTACAGGAGCCAATATCGTGCGCGCAGATCGTGGACAAAAACGCGGGAACCAGTTACTAACTCGCTTGATTCACCAGTGCCACAGATCGCGCGGTTCGTGCGATTCCCGTCTGGCATCATGTAACGTCCAATGGGGATCGGGGGGGGGGGGGGGGGGGGGGGGGGGGGGGGGGTTGATGTTTCAGAATTTTTATATAATGAATATTTAGGCAGAAGAACGGGATGGCCAATCTCTCGGGGGAGGGCGCCCTTACGGGATTTAACAGTATGCATCGTCGAACGCTCAGTCTTCGCCCAAATCTAGCGCTGGAGCTCCAAAAAGAGATGCAGAGGTTTAGAGGCTGACGTTATCCAATTCAAAAGTTATAAGCGATTTTCAGAAATTTCCACTGAGAAAATGGCAGCCGACGAAGCCGACAAATGCATGGAGGTGAACGGCGTCTGCTACCGAGAATGCGCCCCACTTTCTCGTTGGAAATTTCCATAAATCGCTTATAACTTTTTAATCGGAGAATGGCAAGCTCTGAAACTTTTTCATCTGGTTCAGACCACTGTAGCCACCAGCAGGATGGGAAAGGCGGGTATTTCTTTCAAACGCCCAGATTCCAGCACGTGCTTGCTGCTTTCCACCATGCTTCAACTGTGCGTGCACACTCGAGGCTGATGCCGAAGTGTTAATGATGGTAGGAAACTCGCTCCGGAGGAAACTGAAAGTCCTCCCTGCGTCATCATCCTGTCGGCGAGTATGACTAATCACTAGATCCTGGGAAAGTAGTGGCATTGCCTTCCCTGGCTGCTGGCCGGACAGGCAGATACAGACATACAGACGACCCAAACCTCGCAGGGCGATTGGCTGATCGGTTTGTGTTGCCGTGGCAATCGCCATTTCGGTCCTTTCTAGTCTTCGAAGCTTCAAAGGGTCGTTATAAACGAGTTTTGCCAAGGTCGCCGTGGGGCGTCTCCGACACTGTGTACTCAGTCAACTTATCAGTCGTACTTATCTCTACAGATCTCTTACAGTTGTATTGTTCTTGCATACTTCAGTGCAGGGAAATTACTTTTCAGTGCCACCAACCACCGATGCCGCATGTGGCAACGGTGCTAAGTTGCGCACTGGTTTTGCCAGCAAGTGGATATCGAAATCTCGGTGCGCAAGGAATGTCTTATAATTATAAAAGCAACCTGTCACCTCGAACTACGATCGGCTTGCCAAGAACAGAGACGACGAGGAGAAACTGCGCATTCCGTGGGCCGAAATCGCGACCATACAAGGAGCCTGGCGCCACTTTCCCAGGTTCCAGCGACTTTAAGTGTAGCACTACATTTGGGAGGAGACCTAGCGTTCGGAAACACATACTGAACTTCTGCAGCGCAAAAAAACAAAAACTATTTTTTTGATGTTTGTTTTGTAAATACTTGCACACCCGAAGAAGCTTCCTTGCCTCGTCCTAACGAAGCTTTGTTTCTTTTTTCTCGGACCGGGGAGAGCAGCAATTGAGGTCTCCACCAGAACCCGTGTACGCCCAGGTAAACAAGAAGAGGGACAGGTTTCAGAGCGACCAGGGTGTCCAGTACCTCCCCTTGGAGCAGCAGAACTCGCAGCCCGCCGGCGACTCCTGGGTGTGAAGGAAGCAAACGAGCGCCGCCGAGTGTGCGCCGTGCTTGCAGTTTTGCGTCGGTCGCCACGCCGCGGACGAACCGCAACAACACTGCGCGCTCTCCGTGGGACAGGCAGTTCCTCCGTCGGCAGACAAACGACCGACATCTCTTTTGGGACGCAAAACTGACAGTTTCGCTTTAGGTGCTCCTTATGGAGGCAAGTTCCAAGCCAAAGTCAAGATTTGTTTTTCTGTTTTTGTGCGTGAATTATTTTTTTTTTAGTTGGACTTCGTGTTTGGAGTGGCGGGACAAAAACGAGTGGTGTGGTGCGTGTGTGCGCGTGGCTGCGGAACCGGACCAAGGAGAAGGAAACGCCGCTCCGCCTCCGGCCTGTCCCGCGGGGAAGTCCCCCTCCCAGAGGTGTCGACAAACTCGAGTGCGAGCTGCCACCTTTCCCTTTTTCTCGGGTGGAACAGCGGAAGCGTGGCCGAAGGATAAGAAGACGGAAGGAAGTGAAGACCAGGTCCCTGTAACTCTCTATCTCTCTCTCTCTCTACCTCGGTGTCGTTATAAACACGAGCCATGCAGAGAGAGTGCCCTACCGTTTCGTTTCGTCCGTGTCGTCGTCTTAGTTTTCGTTCCCCTATTGCCGCGAAAACAAGGTAACGCTCTTTCTTCGAAGACCGCCGCGACTATACAACAACCACTACCGCAGTAACCGTCGCCACCAAGAAACGTTGCGCGGACATCCGTTCCCCAACGTGGGCGAGGGTTCGTGTGAGGGAAAAGAATAAGGGAAGGGATAAAAAAAACAAAAAAACTCTGCCATTTACTACTCCGTGTATTGAATATACTCCTGATCCTGCCAGTGCCAAGACTATTTCCGTGGGACGTCTTTTTCTCGGGTTCTTATTCCACTCTCGCTCGTACGTTTGTGATTTTTTTCTTACACTGCAGCTTATGGAGACTTTTCGGTTTTGATCTCGCGCAAAGTCGCGGTGCAGCGTCGTCGTTTGCGGTTGTGCGCTCGGGTGCTCGGACGAGACGGGGGGTGATTGCAGCTTTCTTTGCGCTTCGTCTCGGCTCTCGCGCTCGTCCTCTTGCTGGCAGACCCTCACAGATCATTGCTCAAGACGCATTTTCGATCGTTCCCCGTCGCCGTGGTAAGGACTCCTTTTCACAAAGCAAGCGGTTCCTTTTCGACGAGGCGTCCGTTTTCGTTGTCACCGGAGCGCGAAGTCGACCTGTACGACGGCGTTTACAACGCCCGGAAACGTCGGAGCAGTCGCAGGGCGTTGCGGCAACGACATCGACTCGACGCCTTGTCGTAAAGGGACTGCGATAAAGTAACGCTTTGTCGGACACCCCTTTCGTGGTTGCAGGAATGTGTACTATTCGAAGTGTGCTCTTCTTTTTCCCTCGTCATTCCACCGCGTCCCGGCAATTTCCAATGCCACCGGGCTCTTGGCAAAAGAAAGACGTCCTGTGTTGCTGTTTTCATTTCTCTTTGTTTTTGTTGTTTTTTTAAGCCATGTGCAAGCAATGATGCAGTGCTACTTAATGAGACGCGACCGGTACGGTCTTACACGGCGCATCGGTTAGTACGTATCTGAACAGTTCTCGAGTGTAAGCATACCCCCGCATTTTTGGACAGTATTTAAAGAAAGTTTTTAAGAGATAGTTTTGACTGTTCTCTTTTTTAGTTGTTTTTAGCGGCGTTTTGAGGACGTCAAGCGTACATTGATTCCTCCCCCACTGTACAGTCCCGTGTGTTACGCCCGTTGTAATTTTACCGCACCCCCTTTATTTGTCCCCGACCTCGTGTATGTGCAAGCCCATCACCACATTCCATTCTCAGATTTTAGTGATTTTTAGTGACAAGGTTATTTTTGTGCCGTGGGTCAAAACGAAGCCCCTCCCCTTTTTTTTCATTTGTGCAGTGAAATAGGCAGCCGTTCTTTTTCTTAATTGCATCGCTTTTTAATTTTCTTCCGAGATGACTAGTGTGCATTCTGGTGTGTGTAAAATGTATCCAGTATGAATTGTAACTTCTGGAATAAAGGTGATTTTGAGGACCAATAGAATGAGGTTTCGTCATGTCCCAGCAACCTGTTGTGGATTGACCAAAGAGATGGGGACTCCGTTAGTCAGTCACTGAAGATTTGACAATGGCACTATGAAAGACAGTAAAGCTGTGAAGCATGAGCTAGCACATGCTCCATGCTTTAAAAGATGCCTTTCTAGCATTGTGCACAAGAAAAACGTTGAAAGAAATACTGCAATCGGCACAAAATTAAATTCACTTCGTTTCTGCCCGCATACTTTACATTTTAAGTGTTTTCCAGTTGGCAAGCCGGAACAAAGATGTGCGTGGGTGGTTGAACATTGCGTGACAGCTGTCGCAGCCCTCTTTTGAGGGGCAACACTACTACTGCAGGTTTTAGACTTTGTTTCACCTCGAGTCCAGATGCAGCCAATGCCACGATCTGATGGAATCAATCAATCAGCGTCAAAAGCGTGCCATCATGGTGTTTGTCATCTAGGTGTTTTATCACCACTGAACCAATCAAAAACAAGACCCAGTGAATTGCACTTTTGACGTTGCTAAATTGGTCCCATTGCCTCGTAGCGTCGGCTGCGCCTGGACTTAAGCTGAAACAAAGTATAGTAAAAATGCCTCCCAAATTTTGAATCGTAGGCAGAAACAAAACTTCGCTCAGTAGTTCAGGTCCCTCTTGACAAGTGAAAGCTTGGTCCACTGATCTATCGCTTGCAACCATTTTGATGCCACACAGCCAGCCGGTCTGGAGCATCTGGTCGGCAGCCAACTATGGGGAAGTGGGAGGTATACCGGTTAGCATTACCCCTACCTCAAGGTCCAGTTCCACCTTGCTTGCAAAGATGGATCTCCATCGTGATGCGTGTGCTGTTACCTTTTTGGAATCGGATGGATCTCTCAAAAATACATCTATTGTGTCTGGAATGGAAGAGTGAAAATACTCGGCCTTTGCGATTGTGTTCGAGGTTACTCGCAAGAAACTGCGTCCATCATCGGCTTCACCTTGATGCTGGATCAGTAGTGATGCCGCCACGGAACATCAGCGAGCAAAAAAGGTTGGCCTCGATACGATTCATGCTTCGCAACTCTTGCGAGTACGAGCAATCGTGGTGCAAACATGCGAGGCACGTTTCAAGAGACTACTGCAAGAATAATGTGGCACTTCGATAGCCAAGTTCTGTACATTATGCTGCTATGTTCTTGCTCAGAACATGCATCCCACGCAATGACAAACTTCTCTACTTAGAAACGAAACCTACCATTGAAATCTGGGATCCCAAGTCGCCTTATAATCGTCGCATAAAATAGCAGTTATAATTCTGCCGACGTACTATACCCCCGAACAAAACCAATTGGTGTGCGACACTTTGTACAGGAAAATTCTAAGAGGGTATCATTTAGAAATTTTGTTTTTTGATGCGAGTCTTGGTGCTGTGCATTTTCAAAAAATTAAACTGAAGCAACACTCGGAAAGTTTGAGACTGCTGCCTAACTTACCAGACCTTGCCATCCTTTTTCTTGTTTTGCCGTAAAATAGTCCTTTATTCTCTCCTCCATTGTACTTTTTCTTTGAGAAGTTACCTTCTCGACTATTTACTAAAACTTCCTAGATTACTTTGTTTTAGACCCTTTACCTCGCTTCCTCCCCATTTTAACAATTGGTAAAAAAACTTCTCCCCGAGATCTTCCAAAGGACGGCAGCATTTCAGTTGCCATCCAGACAACATCCTTGCATTACATCACCGGCGAAAGAGTCGCACAGACACTCGCTCGATGCATTGGTCAAAAGTTTTTATTCTCACGGTTCTTCAGCACTTTTATATCAACCAAAAACAAACGATAGACTTTGTACTTTTTTTTTCAACCCACTGGACAAGTTTTTTTTGTTTTTTTTTTCCATTTCTTTTCGCAGCAACTGTTTGATCCGGGAAGCACAAACTTTCTTCAGACGTGAAAATAAAATGCAAGGGATCTTCCCCCTGTCAATATGACAAGTGGCGACCAGTAGGAGGGGTGGGCGGGTGGGGGCAAACGACTGGAGATTGAAAGTGTGTGCAGCAACGTTTGCTCGTAAAACTCGCGTGCTATCCAAAAGCACCGGTTCATTACGTTATTGTCGGCGTTATTACTTTCATTGGCGATCTCCGGAAGATGTCGCGCGCACCGAAAAACCGCAACGAGGCAAGGGAAAAGGTAATCGGCCAGACGATTTTTTTTCTTTCCTTTCATTTCTTTGTCCGCAAAACAACCAAACCATTCTTTTTTTTCTTCAAATTTTGGCACTACAGCGGCTTTCACGGCGAAAAGAAAGATGGAAAAAAAAATACATAGGTTAAGCTTATCACAGATACGTGGACGACAATTTCCGGTAGTGAGAAATGACGTGTTGAGAAACGTTTTTCTTCTCCCGAAGGCATCTCATGGGGAAGAGGCGGCAGATGGCAGGAAGAATGTTAGCGGAAAATAAAATAACCGCAATAAGGAGAGAAAGACTCGAGGCATAAGAGGCGGGGCGGAGAAACGGCTCCCAGATTGGTGTCTTAAGGACACAAAAGAAAAAGGGGAGTAATGCGAGAAAAGAAGTGGTGGTGGTGTGGGGGAAGAAAGAAGGCACCTTTTCTAGTCCGAGACTGTTCGATGGGTGGGACGAGGAGGACGCGGGAAACGTATATTACAAAAGATTGACGCGCGAATTTCCCCCTTTCTTCTAAAAACTTCGAGGAAAGGGGGCGGGGGAGAGAAAAAGCCGAGAATGTGAGAAATGTTATCCGCAAGCTTCCCCTCTCCGCACTCGCGTCTCCTGGGAACGCACGTCCCAGTTAACGAAAAAAAAAAAAAAAGGAAGTGTTTTGAAGATGGAACGAGAAATGGCGTGTGATGAAATGCGCGCGTGCGTGCTCGTGATGAAGTTCGATTAAGAGACCTGGGAGCCTACCTCTTTCTTTTTTTGTAACTTTCGTGTTTTTTTGTGTTTTTTTTTTTGGTCTGTCTTTAGAGGGGATAGGGAGAGAAACATCAAGATGAAAGTAGGTAAGGCTTTTCCTTTAAAAAAAAAACTGAAAAAGAATTGAGTGAAAAAAAGAAAGGGACAGACAAAAAAAAAAAAAAAAGACCATTAATTCGGCGAAATCCTTATTCGCGTCGAAGAGGCGAGACGTAAAAAGAAATTGGGAGGCGGGTCGGGGGAGGAGCTTACAAGCCTTTTCAACAGAGCAGCGTTTCAGAGTCTACTCCCATCCAATACTACCTACAGATCTTCGTGTTAGTTTCCATCTCTTTTCCTTCTGCCACAATCGTTTTATTTCATCAAAACCCGTTTCCCGAGGCAGTTCAACCGTGCCTCGCCCCGATAGACCAGAAAGCCTACTAGCACAACCTTCAAGCTCCCAAATACGATTCCCCAGCACAGACATGCGTGGCAGAAGCACCTCCCAAGGCAGCAATGTGCACACGCTTTACTCTCCAAGCCCAGACCTAACCTTACACGCTACAATAAACACTAAGAGCGAAGAGACTAGGACAACCACCAGATCTCTGAACGACCTACACCGTAGCCCACTAGGGAGCTTTACGCTAAACCACCGATCCCAGAGTAGCCTTCCGGATAGCGCGGAAACAAAGCTGTCGGCGCCGCTGAACCACAGGTGCAGAGTTAGTCTCCGGCGGCGCAGAGAGGTAAATGCGGGCTGCGCCGAGATTATACGAAACGGCGGCACGGCTCTGCGCCGCACGACAGCCGGACTCTAGCACTCTCAATTCGGCGGCCCTACTGCTTCGTAAAGTGCGGCACCAGAAGTACGACCACACAGGCGTAGCACCATCCCAAACTGGCCGGATTAGACTCCGAGACGCCGCTCTGTCGCCGCTCGCTAAACCAACCGGGTCGGGGGAAGGGGGGGAGGAGGGAGAATTGGCGCGGGGAAGGCGCATCAGCCGGAGAAGGTGACGGATTCGGCCGAGCCACGGAGGCTGAGAGAGCGGCCCATGCGCCTGCGCTGGGCCAGGCGAGACTCCCCGGGGGGCGAGAGGCCAAAACCGGTAGGGGGCGACGGGTCCGGGGTGTCGGGGTCGTGGGAGGGCACCCGGCGCAGCTCTGTGCTCCAAGCCAGCTGGTGCTGCACCAGCCGCTTCACCGCATTGGCGCTCTCCGCAAATGCCGCCAGGTCACGCGCACTGTTGTTCCTGCAATGCGGAGGAACGATTTTGAGTTTGAGTGTTACCTTCTCAAAGGTCCACGCAATGCAATAAACACGAAGCAGAGAGAGTTATTTTAGAGTGTGTGTCTGACAACTGTACATGGCGTGCACTTTATACCATCACACCACCGTGCTGGTGGTCACTCCTACTTGGTCTTGTCAGGGAGTGCCCTTCCAAACATGGTCAGATTTGGACACTTTTTGTGCTATTCCTGGGACTACTGGTTGAACTAAATGGCAAAGTCTTGATTCCCTGACTCCAACCCAGACTGGGAAAGATATTGCAGCTGCTACGTTGAACATTTTAAGTAGCTGGATATCATCGCCTCGCAGCCAACAAGTTTGCGGTGTTACCCGATAAGAATGAGGCGTGAACATAATTGGCCGTGCATTTCTTAAGCGGTCAGGGACAGCACACACACTCCAAGGTTTGAGTGAGAGCAAAGGTTTCAGCATCTAACTCGCGGAGTTAACAAATTGAAAATTTTCCAAGTTTCATAACAACTTCAGATTTGTATCCTCATTTAAAAATCAACTGACAGTCAAGCTGTGAAGTTTGCAACGCTGGTGTGTGGCTACAAAGACAAGTGCAGGGGGCAAGTGGTTCCCCAAAGGTTATGAGCGGCCAGCCGATGTATGCGTCACCCACTTTCAACCCGAGAAATGGAAAATCTGGCAAGAACGACCTTGTCTGTGAGCAGCTAATGAGACCACATTGCAACCACTACCCAAAAGATTGGTTACAAAGTTAAGGGCATCGGCATAATTAACAGAGTCCAATATTTGTTACGCGCTCGGTAGCCATACAAGGACGGCGGTGCACATATTGGAGACCAAAGAAAAGACAGAAGGGTGAACTAGATGTTGCAAATGTTTAAAGAGAGGAAGGCCAGTTCGCTCTCTAGAAACGACCCCACCATTTCAACATTGCAGAGAGACAATTAAGCCAGCGCAGCAAGACTCTAAACCTCGAGTGATCTATACCATATGCGATCGCTGCCGCGTGCATAACGACAAGGGGATTACAGGACCGCACGCTGGTTCCCGCCACTCGTTTACATGCCAGTAAAAAACCTTCCGATGACAACAGGGACGTAGCTTCCGAAGAAGCTATTTTAGGAAAAGTTTGGCTTTTAGCAGATTCTCTTCCAAGTCCTTTCTACCAACTTCTTTCGACTCTGCGTTTTTTACACACCACCCACGTGAGCATGCAGAGGAAATCAGCGTGCACCAGACAGCTGAAGTATATGCCAAGAGACTTAGAAGAAGCTCTCAACTGCCAGCGGGATCACTTCCAGGTCCTTTCCACAACTTCGATCGCAAACGCCCGAGACGAGCTCTCCAGACCCTCACCGGCGTATGACGGACGGCGTGTGCAGGGCGGTGGTGGGCCCGCCGTGCGCCACCCAGGGGTGCCGGAGCACCTCCTCGGCCGTGTAGCGCTTGCCGGCGTCCTTGACCAGCAGGTGGCCGATCAGGTCCTTGGCCTGCCACGAGATGGCGCCCCAGTCGCGCTCGGGGAAATCGTAGCAGCCCTCCTGGATCGAGGTGAACAGCTGGTCCTGGCAGGCTTGGCAGAATTCACCACGCTCCCAACCGCACGAGGAGCCGCAGCGGCCGTAGAAGGGCGGGTAGCCGCACAGCAGGATGTACACAATCACCCCAAGGCTCCAGAGGTCGCAGCGCTTGTCGTACGTGTGCGCCTCCCCCACAAACGCCTCCACCACCTCGGGGGCCATGAACTCGGCCGAGCCGACGGGAGTCTGCAGCTCTGGGGTCGTGGGCGGGGTTGCCTCGTTGCCCGGCAACAGGACCACCCCAGAGCCCAGGTCCAGGTCGCATAGCTTCACGGGCCAGACCTGCGTGGCGGCGGGGAACCACGGTTGGCACGCTCACCAACTCCCGCAAAGACCTCGTGGAGGTCAAGGCTGGTTTGCACATGCATCCTGAAGTCGCAGGATTCCGGGAAAGTAGCGCCATTGCCTTCTCTGCCTGCTAGCCGGACACAAACAAATACTAACGTGCAGACGACCAAACACCGCAAGGCGATCGGCCAATCAGTCTCTCACCGTGGCAACCGCCATTTCGGTCCACTCCAGTCTTTGAAAGGGTCATTCTGAACCAGTTGCACCGAGATTGCTATGGAGCAGCGTCGTGCCGAATGCATTCCTTACCGATAAGAGCGTCTTTGGTGCTGCACATGCGATCCACCTATAGATTGTGCTCATCCTTGCTGATCTCTTACAATTAAATTGTTCTCGCTTATTTCTAGATGGAGGAATGATCTTTCGGTGCTGCCAAGCACCGATGCCGCATGGGGTGGTGGTACGAAGATGTGCACTTGTCTCGCCGGTGTGTGGATAAGTAAAACTCAATAGTATTAAAAAAACATCTCTATAGAGCTACCCGCCACCAGCGAATTCAGATCAGCTCACCAAGAATAAAGAGGTCAAGGAGAAACTGCTCATTCCATGAACCAAAATGGTGACTGCACGGGGAGCTTAACGCCACTTTCCCAGGATCCAGCGACATTAGTGCGTCCCAGTAACGACGTACTGCGAACTTCTGTCAGCACTGGGACGGTTGACAGAAGTTTGCAGTACGTCGGTACTACTGTCGGTGCCGACTCTGCTTTCACCAAGACGCTGCCTTCTGTCACTCTAATCCTTTCTCTACAATTTTGATTTTTGTTATATTCTCCACCCGGCCTCGGGTCGTTTAAAACAATTCTAAATCTACACCAGCTGGCCATCGAGTTAGTGCTGTTCCGGGAGGCACCCGTCATTAAATTGCAAACGCTCTCCATGGTTTGAATTGCTCTCAAATTTAGACATTCCGCGTGTTAAGCGGAGTGTCTAGATTTAAGAGAGGGAGCAACTCAAAACCATGGTGGCTGTCTCCTGCACCGACTGACTGCAAGTGCACATGTGCCACGACGTTGCCTGGTGAGGACAAAAGCAAGTAGAGACGCAGAGACACCTGCAGACGCTTTTGTCGCCCCCTCGCAGCTCGAATTGCAAATGAGGCCCATGAACCACATAACCCCGATGGAGCAGCGGGAGACTCTCCGCAATCTAGGCACACTATATACTATACGGTATAATACCGGAGAAGCGCCCACCCCGATTTCATTGAAAACAGTGTTACCCCAGACACGGGTCCTTGTCCGGTCAAATTGGTGAAAACCAAGATAGCAGTCAAGCTTTGAAGCCAGGCTGAACAGAATCGGAGCAACCACATTTAATTTTGCCCCGTATCGCTGCTGTCAGTTTCATGGCCGCCAGAACTGGGTGAATGTTTGCGGCCGATGCCGGTGCTTTGGAGGGGACGGGCGTTTAACTTGTAGTTTGCACAATTCCCAAGTTTGGAAAATGCTAATAGTGGGCGCTTGTACGAAGTTGGCACTTCGGCGGCATTCTACGACAGTCGGCAACGGGTTCAGAGTTTGGGGGAAGCTCCTCCCATCTCTTCCTACTTCAGCAGAGCGAACAGGTCGCCTCCTCTCCAGCATTCGCTGAGGGAGAAGCTTCCCCTCTACTCCTAACCTGCCACTGACTGTCGCGTTAGGCAGTTTACAAGAGACCCCAATGCACTCGGACAGTCGAGCGTAAATGTGCAAACCAGCCTTTACTAGCTTAGCTCACTTGGTAGCTCTAACCTGGACGTTCAATACCCACCTGATCGTTGCTGGGACACAGGATGTTCTCTGGCTTGAGGTCCCGGTGCGCGATGCCCTTGGCGTGGAGGAAGCGCAGGGCCTCAGCCACGTCCCTCACCACCCGGCTCGCTTCGTGCTCCGTGAACTGCACCCGCTGCTCGATGTGGCGCAGCAGGGGCCCTCCCCTCATCAACTCAAACACCAGGTAGAACCTGCAAGCACACAGACACGGCAAAGCTCAGGTTGTATGTATAAGAGCAGTCGTTCAACAGGCGAAAATCAGTCCACTTCTTCAGCTGGACCGCCTCATTTCCAGTTCCATTATCCAGCTGGAAGTGGACTTATTTTTGCCTGGTACTAGAAGCAGTGTTTGAGATTTGTGGTTGTTTTGTCCGTGTTTTTATTGGTTTGTGTCTCTGGTTACTATGGAAGATCTTCACCAGCTTGCTTGTGTTTTTACCCTTTTTTCGGGCTTGAACAGTTTCGTGGGAACTTGGCAGTTATAAGGGCTATTCTAGACCTGATCTCTTCTTGTTGGAATAGACCTAAATAAGCGAGAAGCATCTAGGAATTTTCACAGTAGCAGAAATAATTCTCTCGACTATATCCGTTTTTATACGGGTAAGCTCCACCCAACACTTCAAACAACTTATGAAGAATGCTAGCTCTAGAAAATTTAGGGACGTGCACAATACAGACGTCGCAAGTAGTAGCCGAGAAATGCAAGAGCAATCGGGATAATTTAGTATCTGAAGCCTAAATATGAGAATTACATTCATGGTAACCTAACCTAGGTATCTTAAATACGCCCCTAATGTCACTGATGGGCGGTTTATCTGTTAAAAGCTGTGCTTGTTCAAAAGGCCTTGGCAGCCCTAATTCATGGAATAAGGATTGAAAATAGGAAACAACTGCAGAAAACGACATGACAAACGATAGCGGGTATGCATGCCATGAACAGCCTATATGCAGATCCCTCTGGCCTTTATCAGAACTGAGAGAAGTCGCTGAAAAGATAATCTTCAGTACACACACCTGTGGGCAATGTGCACAGATAAAGATAGGCCAAAGTTGTTTGTAACATCATTTACACCCTCCCATTCCTGATGGTCTTGCTTTGGACTATGACCACGAAGACTCCACGACTGACGGAGTACTACATATCTGTAACTGCTGGCACACTGCCCATTGTTCCTCGATTGAGTTACGGAGCCAACAATCCGGGGAACTGCTTCTATAAACTTCTATTGTTCACGAGTCCAAATACGATAATCTCAGTAGTTTATCATTATCAAAATTGTTGCCGAAGTTTGCATGCGAGGGTTTACCTGTTTTCATCTTCGAGGAATTCAATCAGCTGGATGATGTTCTTGTGGCCTGAACAGTGATGGAATGTCTCCACTTCCCTGAATACACGAGCCCTGCTATGTCCTGGCCCTTTCTCTACGATCTGTTGGGCGAGTAGAAATGAAAAAAGAAAAAAATCACTGAGCAAGACGAACATTGACAACCGCCTTCATGTAAACAATAGTTTGGAAAGGATTCTCTGGAAGCCCATGCCACCGAAAACACTTCAGGTTGGAGGTAGGCTAGGTTTACACTCATGTTCAGTGCATAAACCATGTCTAGTCACCAGGACTTACAAGGTGCACAGGGAATTAACATTAAAAATATTGAGGGCAATCGTTGTGCCACAAGGCCATTTCACTTTAAGCTGGAGTGCAGCCGGCGTTATATGCCAATAAGACCAATCCAGCAGCACCCAAAGTGCAACTATGTCATATTTCTTTGCGCATGTCATACAGCGAGCAGAAGGGAGCGGAAGTGTGAAACAATCGCACGACAAACGCTGCATGCAACTTCGTCGCAGTCTGCTTCACATGCCAGAGAAGCGGAGGAACGGAAAAAAACTGGGTAGGAAGCAACAGCCATGCGACTTTCGGCAACTCCCTGCTCCTTCACGTTTCCCCCTCCTCCTCGGTACGCGTAGTAGGCCATGAATCTCCGTGCTCATGTTTCGATTTCGGAGCAGCGAGTTTTCTTGCTTATAGATAGGGTTCTGCATTTTCGGTTTCTATTTTTTCAAAATTCGGCGTACTTTTTTCGGTGTTTATTTTAAAATTCAATTTTCTGTGTTTTTCGGCGTATATTTATGCCCACAAAAGTTTATCGGCTTTTTTCGGTGAATATAAAATAAACACCAACGGACACCGGATCGGATGATCCTTGTAGCTCTGATACTTGTGATCACTCAAAGAATAACGGCATAGGTACATTGAAAAAGAAATGAGCACTTTATTTGGTAAATGTGTGCAGCTCTAGAAGAAACAAGGAAAAACCTGAGAAGCACGAAGAAGTCAGATATGAAGCCTATGCCGAAAAACATAGAACTTCACCTTCTGTACATCGGGATTGCGGTATCTTATAATAGTACACCCAGATGTACATTCCCAGGTTCTCCTCGTTGAACCGCACTCTTTCTTTCCTGTTGCTATATGGCCCTGAGATTCGAGAATGCCCTCTCAACACTAATACTGGACACTGGCAGGCTGAGGAGAGGAAGCGCTGCCTGAGCCAAAATCGGCCAATCAACCAATTGTGACCACCCAAAAGAGACACGGTGCGACTTTGTGAAGCTCAACACAGCATGCAGAGCTTGCATAAAATCAGTCTTCCTTAAAACGAGTTTGAAAACATGCTCGTACATGGCAAAGTTATGAAGCATTTCAGACTTCAAGTTCCGATCGATGGTGCGCACATTAAACCAAAACGTCGTGATGGCATCCGTGTATCCCATACATTCGGACACGTTTCGATAGACACTGTCGTTCTACGTTTTCGCCATGGCTCTGCGGTACGACTGGAAGCTCAAAGTGACCTTTTCCGGTTAAAACTGAATTTTAGAAAATTGATTCGACATACTTTTATCGGTTTTAATAAAAAATTCCGAACCTAAAAACTGACCTTTTTCGGTTAAAACCGAATTTCCGAAAATGGATTCGGCATACTTTTATCGGTTTTTATCGGTTTAAACCGAAAACTCCGAACCCTACTTATAGACCTTTGTCCGGAAGTGCTCTTTTTAGCCTCGACCGCAAGGAGCAAAAGCGAACAATAATCTCGAACCCAGACGCTCACAGGGAGGGGGGGCTGCGTCGGCATGCGCCGCCGCTTCCCGTTGAGGGCTTCTTCGCTGGTGTGCCGACTGCCGTTTCGCCGGCATCGGTCCTGTTTACCGCGGTATGTGAGTATAGTGCCCGTAATGTGAGAGCCGTGTGTTCATACGTCACTTTGCCGCTGTTGGTTTCCATCTAGCCGAGCCAGAAAACATCTCGCGAGGAGTTGACCGCGCCGCGAGTGACGAAGAAGAAGCAAACATGGCGACGGTTTGTGCGATTGCTTTGGTGGCTCCGGTTGCGAGTGTCTTCAACGTCCTCGTGAGAAGGTTCCCCTGCCCTTCGAAGTTATTGCAAGCACCACGAAAGATGTGGAATCATCGTCGTCTCAACTACAATTAAGGAGGCCTTCACGAGCAACAACAGTGCCGAGCAGGCGCTCGGCACAGTTGTCAGGCTCACGCAGCCAGCGGCACAGTTGTGTTGGTTGTGTCGTCAGATGTTTAACAACGCCGAGGTATTTTCATTTATCATTTGGACTGGCTTCAAGAGTGGTAAATTAATCTATTTCGCGGATTGTTAACGCCGAGGCGAGTGCCCTCCGTTGCAGTGCCGTCGTCGCACAAAGTGCAGAGAAAACCGGGTGGCGATGGCGGCGGTGCTCTTTGATCTTGCGCCGTCGGGTTCATGAAGTCCGGAGTAAACGTACGTATGTGCGTCTGCTGGATCGGTGTTTAGGACTTACTCAAAACTCTTTCTCACGTGCATTTTCCTTGTGAAGCTTAGTAGCTCATTACACCTCGTCGTCGACTGCGCTCATTTGACTACGACGGACGAGCCTGCGTGATGTGAATTTCACTGCCTAAGATCCTTGGTGTGCTGTAACGAGGGCTAATAAATATCGCCGCGAACTTCTGAACAAACGAGTCGAAGTTTCGTCTGCTATCATAACTGATCGCCTGTCACAATATTAATCAGTAGCGTTCCTAGACTCCGCCCCCACAGGCACAGTGCTTCGTTGCCCGATAGTAAGTGTCTCCAGGTACCTTGTAGAATTCCAGCTCCCACTTCAAGTAAGTACCATCCTTTAGAACTGGCAATTAATAGTTTCGAACCCAGACGCTCGCAGTGTGTGATTGTGTGTGTGCGTGTGTGTGTTTGTGTGTGTGTGGGGGGGGGGGGGGGACGCGTGCTAGCATACTCGGGGCCCTCGTTTACGCCGCTTCGCAGCGGCAGACAAGGCGCCACATTACAAAAAAAAGCTAATCCGAGGTGTCTATGTAACTAGACCCATTCGCTAGTCATTCGATGAAACGTCGTGGTCTCGTTTTCATTCGCTAAAACGGCGTTCGATCAAGTGAACGCCTCCCACTTATTTCGGCTCGGCAGAGCCGCGCTGCCGCAGAAAGGCAAGCAGATCGCGAAAATCGGTCTCGAACCTGCCACGAATGTAATGTCGTATACAAGAAGCCAACAATCAAGCATTTGAAAGCTACAAGAAAGCGGTAGCGAAATATTTACTACGTAATGAACCCGGACTGAAACGCGGATGTCAAGGGTCAGCAGACACCGAGAACATTTAAAACAAGAAAGGTTTTCTCTTGTTTTCTTGATCGAGATGGGTTCTCGAATGTTCACGACATCTTATCTGTTGAAGAACGGGTCGCGGAGGCTTCTGGTGAAGACATTGTTCACGATGTGCCGGTGCATTCGGACAGCCTGCCGCATCCAGCTCCCCAAAGCAACGCCGCCAACGCAGCCCCCCCCTCCTGCCTGCCAGTTCTTTCCGCGTGGTGGCGCGAGCATAGATAAAAATGGCGGCGCCCTGGAATTGGCGCGGACACTGGTCTATATGCGACTCTGCAGCAAAATAGGACTTCGAGTAGTGACCATAATAGATGACCCGACAAAAAATGCAAAGAAACTGTTTTTCCGTGTCAGTGTCCCCTTAAAAACCCCTGGCAAGCAGTGGTACTGTACTGGCTAAATTCCTCATCTACAGCGGTGACAACAGACGCCCACCGGGGCCGATGAACTTCCTGCTGTCTAAACAAACACACAGCAGAGTTACTATTCTGCGAGTAAATGTATTTGGGGTGAATCAAAGTATAGGAGAAACTTTCATTTTTGCGCGATCCGATTTAAACCAGCATTCAAACGCCCTTCAAGAACTTCAATTTTTGGAAGGTTCCGAGCAAAGCTCCCACCTTGACGGCGTGTTCCTTGCCCGTGTAGAGGCAGATGCACGTTTGGACGGAGGCGTAGGCGCCCTCGCCCAGTACCTCTCCGGTCAGGCAGTACAGGTCGGAGAAGTTGCTCGCCGCCAGACTCGAGCCGTTGCGCTTCTTCTTCTTGCGACGGCGCCGCTGTTGTTGCTGCTGCTGCTGCTCTTGTTGTTGCTGGAGGTGCCGCTCCTCCTCACCACACAGCCCCTCTTCCACCGACTCAGACAGGATGCTCGGAAGGTCTTCTGTCATTGGACGAAGGGCAAAAAAGGGCGGGGTTAGGCCGGCCGTCAACAGGCCTAAACCCTTAAGCCTTGCTCGCACACTTGCGTTCGCCTCCAACCAGAGTTTTTTTTCTCTCTTCCGAGAGCACTTACTGGCACACTGACGCCACCTATGAGGTGGCCCTAGAACTGCATTTCACTAGAGCAAAAGTTCTGCAGTATTTGAGAGATCAGATTTACCTTTCGTAATATCCCGAGAGAGAGCCCACCTAAAATCAATAGCAAATCGGATTAAATTAGGGGTGGGCTAACCTTCGGTGTGCCATAAAAAAAAGTTTTAGATTTTGCGACCTTCGAAACCTGTGATCACAGGAACCAAAGACGCTTGTTCGCCTTCTGCTGAGGTCACCATTGGCCAGTGCCCCGAAATTACTAGAAGTGGGCTATCTCTTTTGTGTTATAGGAGAAATGGCAAATCGTGCCAAATATAGGAGTGGGCTATCTTTCACAGGTGGGCTATCTCTCTGGATATGACGGTACAGCTTACGAGAAATGGGTGTTTGCAACATTGTCAAGAGCAAGCCAATAAAAAACGTGCAAGAGATCACGAAGGTTGTAAGGCAATAATCGGTTGTAAGCAGTCTAAAGTGTGTAAACCGGCCTTGAGGACTACACCTGTCAAAAGATGCAATTCGCTAACTCGTCGACACAAATACTCCCACAATGTAATTCTACACAATTGGAAATAAAGTGTGTAGACTTTCAATCATACACTTTCCACATTCCTGCTTGCCTATGCAGACAGACACACTTCTTTCTTTTTCGTCCTCAACTTATACAACAAGGATCCTCAATCTTTTCCATCCCGGGAAAAAGCCACCCTTCTCGAACAATGGGTCTCGGCGTTAATGCAACAAAGCACCACAGAAGCCTGCGGACCTTGTAAATAATCACTCTCATACCAGGAGAATGCGTGCCACATGGCAGTTATTAGGGTTGTGCGACTAGTGACTCGAATCAAATAGCGCAGCGTCATCCCTAGCTTCTGCACTGGTGAAAGAACCAGCAGTTTTGGTTTTCCTTTGCATTGTTGAAGCTATGAATGATGCAGCACTATTCGATCCTAACCACTATTCGCGCAACCCTAGTAGTTGTGCAGGCAGGCAGGGCGGAGAAATTTGGTAACTTGGGGAACTCCCGAGAGTTTTGGAAGGGAAACCCCTCGTTTGATGAAACCCAGTTTGTGAGCCCATGTTCTGGAAAATTGCCAACGTCGATTGGCACGCAAATCTCGCTCAGCAGCTTAACAATGACTTTGACAGTTGTATTTGAGTGTAACCGACTATGTTACCCACTCCTTGCGTTCCACTACAACGCATTGCGCAGACCTCAATTGCCACAGCAAAAGTTTTGTTGCAAGAAGTCATTTGCATTACAATGGTCATACCTGAATGCAAATGCCTGAACCGGCCTTTATGGTTGCCGTGTCAAATTTGGGGCTTTTAAGTGCCAAACCAACAAACGACATCTGGCACGCCCCAGCGGAGGATTCATTTCGACCACCCCTGGGGATTTTTGAGGTGCAATCAAAAGCTCAGTTACACAGTGACTTCTTTGCAATAAGTCTATGTCTTAATGCAGGCACCTCAACCGGGATTCAAACCCTCCATGTTAGGATGCTTTCAATGAATTTACTCTTCCAGAGCGAACTTGATTGTTTGTTGTGCCGTCTGAACACGAGCAGTCTTTCGAAAAGTTGCCATTTTTTCTTCAATATTTTGTCCTATCATGTATGTCATTGTGCCACTATAGCAAAATGACAAGGTTGTTCAGAAGTGCTGAAAAACTGACTGGTCATTATTACTATTAACTTTGCATGTACACTAGCACCTTTCATATTCGTTGCATTCAGTTTGTGCTACCACAATATCACACAGAGGGCAAATTAGATGTAACGAAAAAGTGGGCCCGGGAGATGGGAGAGGAGACAAGGCTATGCTACCTTTTAGGGACTGTCTTATCTTAGGGACAACAGTGGTTATGTAGAACAGCATAGGTTCTCCAAGCACCATATGCATTAGTACGCAGTTAGGGTGGAGGTTGTATCAGACTGACGAAGTTTTTTGTAACCAAGTATTCCTGGTAATGACCCAAGCCGTAAGGGCTATTTGATGCCTGTTAAGCTGTTTGCATGCTCTGCTTGATATTTGTTTGTTTAATGGGAAGGCATTACGAGGTGTGGCACAAGTAATGAGCACCCATCATGGCTCAACTCTAGAAAGATTGTTAACCTTGATATAAATTTATGGGCAAGCTGAATTTGATTGGATCTGCATTGCACATTGTTTTCTATATTCGCGCAAACTTCTTATTTTATTTTATTATTTTTTTAAGGGGAGGGGGGGGGGGGGGGGGAGGGGCAACGGCAATCGAAACATGACATGGAAAAAAAATGTTTTTTTCAAAATTTGGCGTTACAGAGTTTTCTGTCTCCTAGCTATCGAGTCAAGACACAAGTCACATAACGGAAAATCTGCAGCCACAAAAGAGCAAAGGTAGCGAGTCAGGTTGAACATATTAAAAATTCCAGAAAAGATGTAGTTGGTAACAAAATTGTCTGTCAAAAATTAAAAAAAAAAAAAAAAAAAAAAAGGTCGGGTCACGTTTAGGTCAAGCGCTTGTTTAAAACCCTGCAGAAACGTCAACTCCGCGCAGTCGACTAGCGGGACCATGCCAAGTGAACACCAACACACACGCAAACGGATATTAAATTTCAACCGTCGCTTGGAAAGTGAATTGTTTTAATTAGAAAGAACCATACAACGCGGTGGGGCGCAAGTGCGACGTAGGCATGACCAAAAATATCCCTCGAACGCAAGTTCCTGCCTGACGCAAACCGGCAAGCCGTTGCAGTGGACGAGAAGAATAAGAAATAAAAAGGAAGTGAAGCAGAATTTTCGGTAACAGCATTTTGGTGCCCGCTTCTGCGTAAGTAATTAGGAAAAAGAAATAATTCAAAGCCGAACACTCACTGATCTGAACCATTCTGGAATGATGGCAAGTGCCGTGCGGGCACGGACGCTCAGAAAACCAAACTCCAGCGGGCGCTTGTCAGGGCGTCCGGAGGCAAATCAACGCCACTCCGCGAGACGGGGTCGACTTGAAACCCAAGTCGCCGAGAACCCGGTCGCACAACGGTGTCGAATCGGTTCCAGCAAGGTTCGAGTCGAACTTCAGGGCTCGCGGGGAACCAACGCGAAGCCGAACAGCCCAAGTCGGTGATGGTCTCGTCGTTGCAGACGCCAGTGTTTCTTCGCTACCGCACGCACGAGTGGAGTCATTCCAAGACTGAGCCCATAGACCGGCAGTGTGCCGGCTAAATAGGCCTTCCCCCGCCTCGAAAGAACAATGAAAGAGGACGAAAGCAACCCCGGGCCCACGGCAAGGGCACTGGCAATGTTGCTACCCTGCCCCCAGAGCGTGCTGTGATGTTGACGCGCACTCGCTCCCTGAGCAGGTCCCGTGAGTAGCAGACGACGTAGAAGAGCAGCAGACGCGCGAGATCTCGAGCGAGGGCGCGAGATCGGATGATCGTCTGCTACCGTGGCAAGGAGCCCTCTCATTGGTGGAGCGGCCCGGCGGAGGCGGGGCCTGTCGCCCTTCTCGCCCTTTTACGTGAGCGTCGTCTGCTGCTTGTCGGTGCCTGTGAGCTTGTTTTCTGTTCGCGCGCGCCCGTTTCCTGCAGCTATTCGCAGAGGGCAAGCGAGCAAGAGCAACTGTTGCTCGGCACGTAGGCTCGGAGGCCCGGCGCGCATGAGTCACCTGTGTTGTGAATATACGTCTGCGGCGGCTCGAGGCGTGCAGCGGCGAGGGAGGAAAAAGAGCGTCCGCTGCTCTCGCGGAACGATAACAAAATACAACGACGAAGCGTGCGCCAGCCCCTCGCACGACGATTACTCGGCGCCGCAAAATCGGGTCTCTGTTGCGTCATCAGCAAAACACCACCAGCCCAGCCGGCCGAATCGTTTACGAACACTACTCCTTCCGCGAACCATTCAAAGCTAATTTTTAGTGGCGTGTGTAGTCTGCCTGCGAGGCTATCATATCCGCGTTTGTTTGTTTACCGCCCGGGGTCAAATCCGGGTGATTTAAAGGTCTGACCCGTTCAGGTTGTTCACGACCGTAGTTGTGTACGGCTGTCATCGTTCCGTATCTACGAGAAATAAAGCGCTCCAGAAAAATTGCACTAAATCTGCCAGTCATCTCCTACCAGTACTGTATGCAAGCTCGGACTCGCAGAACTTCAGGGTGCTCGTAAAATTTTCCAACCGGTGTAAAGGCTCGCACGTAAAACTGTCACTCGATGTTGAATATGCAGATATAAAATAGACCTTGCGATTCATTTCCTCTCTAAAATGTGCTCAGTTTTCACGGGCGTTTGATTTCGGTAGAACCATTTTAAATCATGCGTTCAATGATGCTTATCGTTCTTGGGCCTTTCTTTCACGTTATGTTTCTATAGGTGGCAGGGTCGGGGATTTCACAAGATTGAACACGCCGTTCCGTCAGAATCTGACCTGGACCCAAACTGGATCAAACATCACATCGAAGTGTTCAAAAGGCACCACGCTCGTTGGAGATCGATGTGAACCATTTTTAAGGCCTTTTTGCACCCCGTGCACCTCGCAGTAGTGATACAAAACCGCACGCCGAAACGATGCTCATCCAGATCGAAGGGACATGGGCGTGGATGGAACCCAGAATAACTGGGTTCTGCAGCGCGATCTTCTGCTGCACGCGAACGTTCAAGTCTGAACATGCAAACTTCGAATAAATTATTTCAACGCTTTTTCGGCAATGCGGACGGCAGTGTATTTCACGCAAACTTCTCTCCATGCCTAAAGCAAGAGGTCGTTAGTTTCATATAATAACCTCGTGGCAGGTACCAGGACCTCCTCATGGAAGTGTCCACAAATTCTCAGCTCCCGATTTGAAGAATAAAGCGTATAAAACGCCTCCGG